TAAAATATTTTTTATATAAAAAACAATTTAATTAAATGTCAAACACATAAGATTGCATGCTATAACTCATTATAATGTATAACAAAAATGATGCGATTATATTAATAATTTATTAATAATAATCAATCTTTCTTTTGAAAAAGTATATCCACCCAAATATAATGATAATAGTATTGATTGGTTTCTTATTGTTATTAGTTTAATACAATAATATTATGTATACCGTATACTTTGTATACTTTATTTATAGTATATATATACCGTATGTGTGTGTATTATTTAGCAAATGACCAATTTTTAAATCACATTATTATGTAATAACTAACGTGAAGTCACATTTAATTATACTGTAGTTTGAGTCGGCAGTTGGTTTAGTATTTAGGAGATGCTATGAATAGTGCACTACATTGTCATTAAATTGCGAGAAAGTTTGAGAGAAACAGGAAATAATGTTTGAATAAAAATAGTTTCACTTAATTTATAGTCATTTACTCTCGAGTGGACCCTTAATTTAAGTCATAATTTTGTTGGAAATTATTTTTTACTGCTTATATTATATAACATTATGCCATCATTTTTTAATGGTATAAAAATATTTCATTGAAATCTAAACGTATGAGTGAATCGCTTAATATTTAGTTACATCGCAAATATAAACATTAAAATATTATTTGAATAAAATTTTCAGTTATTATTTTTACAGTATATTTATTATTGTGATTTCAAAAATTAATGTATTGGTTAGAAGTTATCACAACAGCTATAAAAATCAAGATTTATATATATATATATATAACGTAATTTTATGTCATTAATGTAAATAATGTGATTTTTTTGCTGACTTTTTATAATTATTAGCAATTATTATTATATTTCAAAAAACGCTTTTATAGTATTATACAATAAATAGTGATTACAAAACGTTTTGTTTAATGAGAGTTAGGTTTGCAATAAAAATAAATTAAGTAAACGATTTGCAATATAATCGGTTCCAATGGTTCTGATTACTTATTAACACAAATTGATAATTTTTATTTTTTATTTAATTTTATGTAATGTCCAGTGATTTGTATTAATTGTCAAACAGGTCACTAAACACATTTATATCCGATCAATATTTGTTTAAAATCATTGATTTTATTTTGATAAACAATAACAGCAATAATAATAAAAGTTTTGTTTTTAATTTGCTGATAAATTTTTTTTATAGATTTAAATTGTATACAAAATGTAAATTAAAGGTCGCGACAAAAGACATGAAAAAAATCTTTTATAAAAAATTTAGTTCAACCATTTTGATGATAATTTAAGCATTCATTGATTATTGCAAATAATATATATAAACTAGAAATTAATAATATATTTCTCATAATTCGTTAATATTTAATGTAAGTTTATTTGTTAATTTAATTTAATTTTGTTAAAATTAACTCATTATATAAAGTTATGTAAATAATTTTTATGCAAATTTTTTCTACAGTATGTAATTTTTTATTTAATTACTAAAAAATTGTTTAATTATTGTTTGCTTTAACGATTATTTTTACTACCAATATGTTTGCAATACAGCAAATCCATTGACAATCACCATTAGAAAAAATTATCATAATTTAAAAGTTTAAACCGAAACTTCATTATAAACCTCTTTGAATATACTGTACAGTAGTTATCAATAGTAAGCATTAAATAAAGCGTGAATTAGTTTCAAATAGAGTATAATTATATACTTTAATTAGGATATGACTTATTAGAAAATACTGTTTTATTATACTGTATTTGGATTTAAACAAAAGTGAAACTTTATAATAAAATACATACATAGGTCTTATTATCCAAAACACTAATTTATTTTTTTTAATATAAATATATATAATAATGTATTATGTTTTTTGTTTGAAATTCTATATAGTGTTAGGAAAAATAATGACATAAAAATATATATCAACTGTTCAACTAATATGACCTAAATTTTAATCACGAAAATTATATAATATTTTAAATTAGTAGGGAAACAGTGATGAAAAAAGATCCCTCAAAACAAAACAAATAATAAATAATATATATATTAAATCTACGTATTAATTATATATTTTTATTTTGTTTTTGCTGTCTAATTGTCAAAATGTCTTAATATTATCGACTTTATTTTGATGTTATTATTTAATGTTGTATTTAAATGACAGGTTAGGTCATCAAAGTAGTACTGTTAGTTTTTGAACTGTTTTAATAAAATAAGTTAAACTGTATAAAATGACATATTATATACATTATGTAATAAATAGTGTTTTTTAAAAACTATATACAATATTCTACATTTCATTTGCTTTCATTTGACAACTATTTTTGCAATTTTTTGTGTGACAACTGGACCAACAAATTGTCCATTTTATAAGGCATTCAAATTAAGTTGCATTTTCAAAACAAGTAAATTTTAATGTAATAAAATTTTATATATAACGTAATAATGGTAATTTTAATTGTTTGAAAATATAATGACATAATGACATTTAATTTTCAGTTGATAACAAAAATAATTAGAAACAAACAACTAATTGAAAAATTGGTTATTTGCTAATAGAAAGTCAAGGATTGACTACACAAAGCATTACATCAAAAGCTAATTTTGACCCCATTTTTGCAAATATGCCACTCATTTACCTGCAATGCATTTGTCATATAATATAGTAGGCTATAAATATAATTGGCGTTACCTTAATCTATAGTATTTATATAGTCTATTACATTTCAATACTACAGTACAGCATATACCACATGAATAGCATTTGAATGTTTTACATAAATATCTCAATTACAGCATTAAAACTATTGGTTGGTAGCAAAGGTCGTGACACTCATCAGTGTCGTTGGTGTGTATTATTAGCTATCGGTGCAGCTGTTATGTTGGCCTCTTCACAGTCGTTAAAGTCTATCAATGAATATCACTGTAAACATAAGTTCCGGTGCCCTATGAGCTGATGGGTGTCTGTGCCATGCATTTCATTCATCACAATTGACTGCCTGTAAAGTTACGGACCTAACGCTTCCTTTGAATAGTTTAAGCGTTTAGGACCCAACAGTCCTCTCAAAAGACAACATATTGCAGGATATAGTGTAGTGTCGTGTAATGCAAGACAGGATAGGATACAGACTTTTTTCATTCAATACCACATTACCGTAAATGTCAGCTCAAAAACCATTGCTGAGGTAACACTTAGCGCGCAATTCAGCGCTCATGTAGTTTATTATACACCTGGTCTTTGTTTTGAATGCCGTCATCATAGCAACAAATACTACGAAATAATTTTATTAATTTCAATAATGACTTTAATATTACTTCATTTTATTGATAAAAATGCACTAAAAGTCGGTTTTTGGCTATATTTTGCAATTCATTTATGTTTCAAATTATTTGTTAGTTACATATATTATTCATTTTTTATGTTGGCTTATATTTTGCTATTCATGTGATCTAAGTTTAGATTAGTACACAAAAATAAAAGCTATTAGTTAGTTATTAATATTAATATCAATGATTTGTTATATTATATTTATAGATGCGGTTAATTAATTAATTTTAGTAAATTATTATAATTTTAACCCATGAAAGATATAATTATTTTATATTTTGTTTTTTATCTAAACTTATTTGTCAGTAAAAATAAAAATCATTTCGTGCAAATTTGAATAGTTTTTGATGATAAACTTTTTTGTTTTGTTTTATTTGTTACTAACATATATTTATAAACATTTTGGTTTGTTATAACAATAAACAAGCAATAAATTATAAAAACTATTTATTTTATAATTATATGAAAAGATCTTTAAACCATAAAAATAATACAACATTTTTTGATATCATAGCAATCATCGATTTTATCGACAATAATTTTTATTTAACTTTACAAGTAATATACATATCGATTGTGTCATTATTTGGGTTAAAATTAAATAGATATCGGGCTTTAATCCTTAAGCAAAAGTTTTTTATTTACATTTTATTATAACTTTTGATATTGTATACAATGTATAGTATGAATAAATAGATTTCAATTGAGATATGAAATAAAGCAGAGAAACCAATTGTCTCTTTTATTTAATAATTTGAAATTTTCAATTTTCTATACAAATGTTGTGCTGTATATAAATTATTATATTATATTTATATATAAATACAACTCTTTTTTGTATTTTATAACAACAGTGAGAATAATAAGAAATTTATTGTGAGAATTGTTTATAGTTTATGTCATAAAGTTTTCATTTGTTTTTATACACTATAAGTGGTTTTTAAAAGTAACTTTTTAATTGACTTTCACTTATAAAAATGTTTATTTACCAAAAGTTTTTTTCAGATAATAACAAAATATAATAATATATAAAATGATTGCTTTTGTGCTAAACAAAGTCAAACACAGGCCTTTAAATGTCAATAGCATTTCATAAATAAATAATGAATTGTGTATTGAGTTTTGTTGGTAAATGATTGCATGCAATTCACATATCAAACATATAACAAATTTTGACTAACAATTCATCCCATATTCATACTCTCGGTCCTCTCTTTTATAAACATTAATATTTATAATAAGATATTAACATAAAAATATAAATATATAATCGATATATTGACAGATATTCTTAAAATAGTTATTTATATTTAATATAAGCTATGGCTTTATGTTTACAAAATTATTTGTGCTTTAATATACTGGTATATTGTATTCATAATTGACTTTTAGTTTAATGGCATTGCAATAAAGATAAATTATTATTTATACAAATAATAGGATCATAAACTAGTATTTTTAAACAATGAACTTAATTTTACTATACAATGTAAACAATAAAAAAAATATGTAACTTATTATTAAATATGTTTTTGATTTAATTATGTAAATAATTACCACTCAATAGTAAAATTTATTTTTGTGTTTTATGAACACAAATACATATTTATATGATAAATATCATCAATAAAGTGATGAAATAGTATAACAAACCTCTAATTTATGTGAATATTCTTCAGCTATCCTTTCATTAGCTCGACTTAACTCTTCATTTCTGTCCAATAAAGCCTTTCCTAATTCTGCGGCTAATATCAGATCCTTTTCTTTTTGTTGTAATTGTATTAATAGATTATCACTGTCTTCACTGGTGGTCATGTTATCTGATTTTTTATAGTTTGTCACAACATTTGTATCACTGTTTCTATTCTCCAATTCATAGATAAAGTCGTCAAGATTTGCGACATTTCTTTTATGGTAATTATTATTATCCCGAATCACATCGTTATCTTTGACAACAAGATTATCATCACTGGCATCAATGGTATTGTTCTGATGTCTTATTTGATGCATCATTGTCTGCCACTTTACCACAACATCATATAATCATTACAAAAAAATCACATCATTTTTGTTTTAATTTCTGTCAAAAGACACTCTTATTATGTCATTTAATATCGGCTCAAAACAAATCTTTACTGTAAATTGTTTTTTTTTAAATATTTTTTACACAAAAAAACTTACATTACCTTTAAGTTGAATAACTATTAATAAATAATAACCACAAAAATAAAATAAAAAGCTTTTCTCAAATTTACTTACTGTTTCTCACTTCAAATGTGAAGTAAACAGTCGATAATAGTTAGAGATATATAGGCACACATTTTCTCAGCCGATTATATAACTTTATATTACAGGTGAGTGTGAAAAAAGTTGAGTACAACGTATGGGATGGTAATAGATATTACAGTAAAAGTAAGAAAAGACAGAGACATAAGTTTGAGTAATGTACAGCACTGGTAGCTGTGGTACAGTACCTGTTCTCAAGTGTAACACAAACTAATACACATAAAAACATTGCCTCTCTCTCTCTCTCTCTCACACTCTATGTTTTGCAATCCCTGAGCCAGAAATTGTTGTCCCCCTTTAGCCTAAGGCGTTCAGTATGTGTTTTCTCTCCCTATTGGACTCTATTATTCTCTAGAGGGAGTGTCCTATCATATGTACATATTTTTTTGCACAGGTATTAAAAGGTATTATAATTTATATGTATGACAGCAACACAAAAAAATATGACGAGATATGCATTGTTTGCTTCGGTGTTAAACTTCTTTCTCCAGTTATACCTATTCTTGTCATTTCTTATTTAAATTCTGTCCATTAAAATCCAACTTTTTATTTAATAACCAAACAATTTATGGATGTATTATATATATGGACCACAAATATAAATTCATATAAATATTTAATTACACTAATTATTTTTTAAAAATATACTGTACAATACRGCTTTGTTTATTGTTTTTAAGTTTTTAAATACATTATTTAAATGTCAACAAGCTAAACATTAAATTTTTAAAAATATTATTTAATTATATATATTTAAAGTTTAACTTTTAAAAGATTTAAATTATATTTAACAACATTAACATGATAAACATTAAAATGTCTATTAATGATTAAAATTGTCGGTCTTAGTGTTAAGTATAATATACTGTAAATTTACATTTATTATGTAAACTGTTTTTATATATTACTATAAAACAACAAAACAAACTAATCAAAGATTTTTTGCATTACAATTGTTTCTTATAAAAACATTTATTACCAATTTTTATATTCATTTCCGATTCACACGATTTTTACTAACTTTTCAAAAATTAAAAAATGTTAGATATTTTTATAAAAATTTCTTTTGTTTTGTTATTGTATATAATTTTCATTTATATTCTTTTTAAATAATTTTTTATATGATTTAAAGGATAGGACTCTGAAAATACTCATAGTTTTCAACATAGAAATCAATCAAATGTTAAATACTCATTGACTTTGAAATCACATGAGAAATATTAGAAATTTTAGGTTTGAATTAATTTTTTCAAAACTAATGAATTATTTATGAATGTTTTAGACGAGGAATTCTATCAATAATATTTAAATTGATTACAATTTTGTAAATGTTTTTTTTGTAATTGACAAAAAATATTTTATGTTTTACACTTTTTAGTATTTTTCAATTTGTTTAGATTTAAATGTGATGTGAATCTTTAATATAATGTTGATGTTAATATTTTTTTAATTAATAAAGAGATGAGACAATTGAATGTTGTTATTAAATTTTTTATTTGTAAAAACAATAATCATATATATATATATATATATATATATTATATTTTAGAATCAATAATAAAGTAAAGTTACAAAATAAATAAAATAAAAATTATTTTCAGTTTGTGTATCATAGAATTTTTTAAATATGCTTTTTTTATAAATTTAATATATTTTATTTTTATATTTTATTAGTTTTATAATTTTTAAAAATAAATGAATTTATTAAGTAAATAAAATTTTCATTTATTAATTAATCTTATAATATTACAATATCTTAAACACACTCAAGTTCTGTATGTTTATTTTATTTACTAATACATAATATTTTTAAATTTTTAAATATATATTATAGTTTGTATTAAAATTCAAATAATATCTAAAGTCGTATGATTTTCACGAACTCCTGAAAGGAGATCATATATGCATTCTATAAATCTGTCTGTCTATCCCACGAGGACATAGGTTCGAATCCAGGCTCTGCTAAAAAATTTTTTTGATTTTTTTCTTTTTTAAGTTAAGAAGTTCGTATGGAAATGCTTTTAAAGCATTCTCAACTGGTTTTTTTGAACTTTTTTTCTTTTATCAGTCAAGGAGTTCGTATGGAAATGCTTTTATAGCATTCTCAACTGGTTAATTATATTATATTAAACAAGTTTTAATAATTATAAAAAAAAAATTTTTTAATATTTATAATAAATTATACTTTAAAAATGCATGCACAATTTTTTTTTTGATTTCATCGTCACGTTTATTAATTAAATGTATTGAAAGATTAAAATATTTAACTTTATATTTATGTTGTATAAGATTTCAAAAATAAAACATAATGTATATAATGAAACGTTAAAAATTAATAATTAATTATAATTGACATGAATTGTCACTTAAACTTTAGTACATTAAATTTTTTATTTAAATACACTAAAAAATTCAGCAAACAAATATGTTTTATCATAATAATAATTAATTAAAAATTAATAATAATATTATTAATACAATATAATTGATATAAACTAACAGTAAATTGTTTACTTTTTGGTTAATTAGCATTTTAAAAAATAATTTACAATATGACATGATATGCAAGAATTACAAAAATTATATTATCTATTAACTAAACGATTTTTTAATTTATTATTAAAACAGCATAGATGTTAAATAGCTAAATAGAATTAATAAAACAATATTAAAATAAAATTGATAAAATTAATATTATATTAAAATTATGATAAATAACAGAATTATATAAATTTATATAAAACTATTAAAACATTTTGTTGGTAACAGAGTCCTGATTCTCGGGTGACAATTAAAATTAATTGTAAACTATTATTTTATTTATTTATATAAAAAATTATCACATCAATAAACCTTTAAATCATTTTAGATTATTAATTTTTTAGTTTTAAAAATCTATATATTAAATTATAGAAATCATAAGTAATAAAAGTAAATTACAGTTAATTAAATTAATTATCTATAAATTAATTTAGTATTAATTATCAAGGATTACTAACAATTAATAACATTTCTATTATTAGACAACAAATTTAATTATTTTCATATGAATTAGCAATTGAAGACTCACAGGAAATAATTTTTTTACAGAAATGCTTTGTTACAGCTAATGATTAAATGATACACATATTAAAAGATTATAGTTTGAGTTAATTGATTGACTTATTAAAAAATTTAACGATTTTTTAAAGTTAACAAATTTAATTACATATTGTTATAAAATTTATTCTACAAAATTGCCAATCGCTTAAATATTGCATGAATTAAACCCATTTATATTGATATAAGTTATTAAAGATTACTATTTATAACTAATGGTATCTTATCTAATATTATTTTGATTAATATATGTCATAGATTAAAATTTATTATCTACATTATGATAATTGATTATATAAATACACAGTTATACATGTTATATATTTTAATTTAATTTATAAGTAATATAAATCAATCGACATTAAAAATGATTTTTATAATAATAATAATTTAGTGTTTTAAATTCAGATTATTAAAATTAAATTGCATGTTGTGATTGGTTTTTTAAATTCAATTATCTAACAATTATTACAATAAATTAATGTCTAGACTGAGGCCATCATTTGCTAAGCATATTATCGATTTAAATTTTTTTATAAATAATAAAATCAGTTATTATTTTGGAGTTCAATGAAACAATAAGCTTTTAGCCATTAGTTTTGATAACATGTTTAACGGTTTTTGTTGAAATTTTACAATTAATTTTATTTTGACTAAAAAGCGGTACTTTTTGTTTGTTTAGTTTTTATTATGGGTGTAGATTTGGCATCAAAATAATATTTGATGAAATCAATTGTTGTTAACGCAAAAAAAAATTTCTTTTTATTTAAATAAAATGTTTTTATTTTATTTTGATTGTACAAAACATAAGTTATAACATAAACTTTAACCTTAAACTTAACTTTCATTGTGGGCTTGACTTTTGATAAATACATGGATTATTTATTTTTATTATAACAATAACAAGTTATCTAACAATTAAGTTTCAATTAATGTCATCACATTAATCACATCAACATTTGTTTTGTAGTCAAAGCAAAACTATTATAACTTTTTTTCAAAACTCATTAATTAGTTAACAAATGATTATATCTTAAATTTTGTCAGATTTTGGATTTAATTATTACAAGAAAATTGAAAAATTTTATACAAAGTTTGCCAAACATTTGACTGTATAGTACTTCTAGGTTTAAACTTAAAACTTTTAAGACATTCAAAAACATAAAAATTATTTTAGTAAACAAAATCTATTATTTGAAATAAATAAATGACTGAAATATATTAATATTCATTAATATTATACAATAAATTAAATATGAAATAACGACAATATGTTTACGTCAATTGATTTATTAAATATATAGATTTATTGTGTATCTATGAGGCAATCAGTTATTATATTTTCATAATGATAATGCATTTTTTATTAAGTATATAATAATATTATTATTTAATTTAATCATTTATTATTATAACTATACATTAGTTATACAAATATATTGTATAATTAAATGCTATAATCACTTACAAGTCATAGTCGCACAAGTATTTAATTAAATTAATATTAAATGGTATAAAGTTATAGTTTAGATTCAATATAATTAGTTGTACATGGTAAATTAACATAATTTAATAAACTATTAATAATAATATACGAGTGACTTATTTTTTAATTACATTAATTTTAATATCATTTATGATTTGCTAATTAATTAAAGTTTTAATTATAATTAATAATTTATTTTACTGCATATCTTTAATTAATAAAAAGTTGTTATATTATATTTACCTAAATATACAATATTTACATAAAATGTAGTAAATATTTGGATATTAAAAAAATAATAATATAATTGTAATATAATTGTAATATAATTGTAATATAATTGTAATATAATTGTAATATAATTGTAATATAATTGTAATATAATTGTAATATAATTGTAATCTTGCATTTTATAATAATATTTTATAATTTAATGAATTAAATTGTATACAATTGTATAGTAATCGCTATGCAGTACTATATGTGTATATTTGAGATAATATTTAATATTAATGAACACATATTACAGTCAAATAATATAATAAATTATATGAATATAACAGTAAAATAGGTTTTAAAAGGCATTTAAATGATTGCAAACTGTTTTTCAAAATCAGTCAATACTGACAATACAGCCAATCATTAACTGTATCGATGCTATTGTAATCACGTGACTGTATGACTGTCAGCCAATGGAATCGTTGGACACTATGTTTTGAACGTTAAATAGTGGGACAAAAGCATAACATTGAGTCATAAAACGTCTGATTATTATTCAAATAAAACGATTGCTTTTTCACACAATTGTCGCACATTTTAACCACTCATTTGACCAAATTATCACCAATTGGTTCATAAAATCATTATATATATATTGATTACAAATATTGTCATACATTTTGTATAAGATATGTCTTCAGAAAAGAAGAAAAGGTCGGATAAGAAGACTGAAAACGTGGCCATCGGTGGTGATAGCAATGAGTCAGAAGTGAATCAATTGAGGAAACGTCTCGAAGAGTTTGAAGAGAGACACCAATTGATTAAAACAGAGTTCGACTCATTGAAGGCTATTAATGAAGAATTGACGACAAGACACGAAAAGACTATCAAAGAGCTGAAACTTGATATCAAAATTGTCAACAAAGATGTGGAAAAATACAAACAACTCTATAATTATGTACGAAAAGAGAAAAGCGATTTAAGTGAACAAATCAAAACTAGAAACACAACCGAAGATCAACTCGAAGAACGACTTAAGGAAAAGGATGAACGAATTCAACAGCTTATCAATGAATTGGATCAAATCCGCAAAGATTTGGATGACAAACAACATAAACAATCGGTATGTTTACGCCACATAAATGACAAACTTTGATGGATATAATTAATTGCTTTTTACTCATAAACAGATAGTGAAGGAAGGATACGAAGATCGGATCCGATCGCTCTCTAATGAGACAAAGGTTGGCAAATATGTGAAACCTTTTGGCAATAATTTGAATCTAAATGTTGAGATAAGTTTGGCCCCAAATAGTGGTCAACTAAAACAATACTATTAAATGCACTTTAATTTTGTTTTCTGTAATAATAAGTAGTCATTAATTAATCAGTCATTAGTTGTTTTTATTGTTATTCATTAGTCAATACATAATCACTGCAATAATTATTGATTAGTCATTTTAATGACTCATATTTAGTTTATAACTAACTATATAACTGTTGGTTAGGTTTTTGCAATATTTATGTCAATACAATAATTGTGTCTTAAATTATGTCATTAATTAAAAACCATTTAATTATGAAATCATTGCTTATAAATTTTGTATCACTTTTTCTATTTTATTCTAATATTTTAAGTTTGATTTATGACAATAAAAACTACTTTTTTAATTGTTTGAAATAATGGTTTTATTTATATGAATTATAGACACTTAGAGATCAGCTGAACAAAGAGCTTAATTGGAAACGAAAATATGAAGAGTCTTCGCTAAAATGTGAAACCAATTCAAACAAATTAATGGAACTTCAGAACCAAATGAGAGAATTGGAGAATAAATTGTTTGAAAAGGACAGACAAATTGAGACCAAAGACAATGAAAACAAAAAGTTGTCGAATAAATGCAAAATACTTGAGACTCAATGCGAGAAAATGGACACTCAATTGAATCAATTTCAAAACAAATATAAAGGTCTTGGAGTTCAAAAACAGAAATTAATAGCAGATAAGGACAGCACAGTATCGGAAGTAAATAAACTAAATAAAGAAATCTGTAATCTTCGGAATCAATTGGATGCCGTCGATAAAGAAAGAGAGGATACAATGGCTGAACTCGAGTCACAACGAGTCCATTACGAAGAGTTGATTAAAACTGAAAGACAAAAATTGCTGACCACTGAACAAGAGTTTCAAAGTGAACGCCAAAAAACTCACAAACTTGAAGAACGCTTCTCAGCTCAGGAACAGAATATTTATACCAACGATGAGACTATCATTGCTTTGGATAAAAAAGTGAGTCAACTCGAGGAACAATTGATTGCTATTAAAGAAGAAGCGGCGTCTCATATCACCACTATTGGCCATTTAAAAGAAACTAACGATAAGCTTAAGTCATATATTAATGTGGCCAACGATAATATCGATGATTTAGAAGGAAGACTCATATCCATTGCCAATGATAGAGATGTCAAAGAGGATGAAATAAATCAGTTGCATATCCGCTCTGAACAGACAATTAAACAGTTAAAGAATGCTATAATGCATTTGCAACAGAAATATGATTTCTTAGAGAAGAAGCAAAAGAAGGTAAAGAAATGAGTTTCCTATTGAGTCATATATTCTGGCATATAATCAACAAAATTCAACAAATTATTCAAATATTTATTGCATTTTTAAAAAATTATTTGTTATATAAACTTAAACTTTATGCAACACTTTATATATTTTATTGAAGAAATTTATGGGTTTAGCGCTGACACCAAAAAAGAAGGGTTCGGCCGACTATGATATCAATTGTCCCATCGATTTGGACAAAGCATTGGCAGAAGAGAAAGCTATCAATAAGAAATTGCTCGAAGAGTTAACTAAACTTAAGAGTGACGCAAACTATCTTAAAAATGAAGGTTAGTTTGCTTTTGCCATCTCTTTTGCCATTTTTTAAAACTTTTTTAAATAGCATTTTAATTATACCAATATATATATATATATATATATATATTTATTATATTTATATAAACGTTTTAATATATCTTATAAATTTATGAAAAGTATTTACAAATTAAGATTATATAAATTGAGAATTTAATAATAATGTATTGTTTCAGTGTTTCAATTAAATGATTCAATAAATACCGATGATTTGAATGACTTGAATGACAAATTAAGTAATGAATCAAATGATGTGAACCAGTCATTTGAATTGGATTTATGGGAACAGCTCGTCAACGATCAGCAAAACCAGGAGAGGCAGCACAGGACTCATACTGACTATAGCCCTAACAGTGCTTTACACGTGGATATACTGGATATACACAACCAGTGATGACAGTTGTTGTTGTCATTTGTCTAATCTCTATATTTTTATAATATCATAAACACTACATTCATACCAATTATTCATTGATTCACCAAATTTTAAATATGTTTTTATATTTTATTCACTAAAATAATTTGTAAACTCTTTTGTATAATTGATTTCCTATAAGAAAAAAATTCATAAATTTTTTAAAAACGCGATCCAAATGTTTATAATTATAAATAAAATACAAATTGATTATAAAAGTTAAAAATGGCTCAAAACGAGAGAAATGGTGTAAACCTGAAGACTAACTCTGAAGCAATGTTTAATAAGTTTGTGGTCCTCATTGGTGTGGCGTTTGGATCAGCAATATTGGCAGTAATGATACTAATCAATGAACAGTTACCACAGCCATACATGGATGAGATATTTCACGTTCAACAGACACAGGCCTATTGCAAAGGCAACTTCACTCAGGTATGCCGTCTGATGATTCATCTGACCATATGGTAACAGTTGTCACTGTTATGATCGGTGATAAAATTTTTGATCCCGTAGTGGAACCCTAAGATAACGACCCCTCCGGGCCTATACCTGACAACATTGGGTTTTCTTAAACCATTCTCCGAGTTGTACGCCTTTGGCGAAGAAGACGAAACAAAGATTTGTCCGCTTATTATCCTTAGGTTAATGAATGTCATCTTCACCTGTGCTAACAGTTATCTAATATATTTAATATCAATTCAAATGCATCGGTTTGCACCGGTATGTGTTGTCATCCCTGTCCACAAACTAGTTGTTCCGATTTGGTGTACGACTAATATAGCTATAGTTCATAGATTAACAAATTGTTTGTTTCGTGTTTTGCATTTTTGTAGAGAACTTCCAAACTTAAGTTACTGTTTTCATCGGTGTCTTTGGCATCACTTCCGCCACTATTTTTCTTTTCCTTTCTTTACTATACAGATCCGGGTTCTCTATTCTTCGTGTTACTCATGTATATGTTTGATGTCAATGAATATGAATGGTTAGCCGCTCTTTTCGGCGGAATATCTTTGCTCTACAGACAGACCAATATAGTCTGGATTTTCTTTTTGGCCGCACATACCAGCCTTAAGGTAAGCACTTATATCTACATTATTAATGGGACCGGTATTACCGGTAATCCATTTTTTCTGACTAACAACTGATCTTACTTTTAAAATAAAAAATCTTAACCAATGCCTTACATTAGTTTATATATGAAGCTGTTGTTGAACAGGTATTTCTTCGGTTATTTCTCTTTACAAAAACTATATTTTTTCATCAAATGAATGATAATTATATTATTTTGTATTACCGTAAAGATATACAACAGAAATGGTGACAAATCAAAGAAGAGGTCAATAGTAAAGTCGTTTATTCAGGCGAYGCCACAGATTATGCTAATCTGTGGCGGATATGCATTGGATGGCATAATATTTATGGCATTTCTTATCTATAACAAGGGTAATGATTGAACTTAAGTGATAATTAGTGATAATTTGTTTGGTATATCCTTAATGAATAGGTATAGTATTAGGCGACCGGTTATCTCACGAAGCAGTCTTGCATTTGGCACAAATGCCATACTTTTTAGGTTTTGTAACATTTTTTGGCTTTCCCTGGCTTTTCAACGCAACAAATATCAAAAAGTTTATATCGTTATCAATGAGATATCCTGTGAGACTGATGGTCAGTGCTGTATTCATGGGTGTCATAATCAACCAGTTTTCCTATACTCATCCCTATTTGTTGGCCGATAACCGACACTACACTTTCTATATATGGAAGCGTATTCTGGGAAGGGATGGATCGCTAGTGCCGTACGCTGTGATTCCTATCTATATCTATACGGCTGTAACAATGTTTCAATTATTGCAACGAAAAGACTCAATATTTAAGATATTATTAATTATGTGTACATTGGTCTCAATAGTGCCGCAAAAGTTGTTTGAAATGCGATATTTTGTGCCGGCGTTTGTCATTTGGCGGCTAAATATTGCACCGACTAATGGTTTAGCGCTAACTCTCGAGTTTATATTATTTTCATTTGTTAACGCTTTTACTATCTATATGTTTGTATTCAATACATTCAAATGGCCTCAAAATAATGACTTACAAAGATTTATGTGGTGATCAAAACTATTAAAAAAAACAATTTTGATTTATAACTTATTTATAAAAAATTATTTATTACTATAATTTATAAATATAAATATTATTTTGCAATAAAACAACTTTATTATAAGCATTTCTGTTTTATTAAATTATTAACAACTGCTAAACAAATTGCCAGCTAATTATCAGTTAACTTTGAGACATATTATAATATATATATATATATACTGAATAATATTATGTGTGTATATAATTAATTATATAAATAAAACTTCATTTAATTTAAAATAAAAATTAATTAACTTTTAAAACATACAATTCTTTACACACTTTGACATACTTTATGAATGACTTAATGAATGGCAAACCATATGAAAGAGTCATTCATTTTGTTATTGAATTAAATAATAGTTTTTATTTGCAAACAATTGAAAGTCAATTAAACATATAGTTTGCGATTTAGTGACAAAATCAATACAATTGTCATCAAATTTTGGACACATTTGGTCAGAAAATTATTTTTTAGAGGTATAAAACATAAATTGATACAAACTTTGACTTTTTAATTGACACTTTAACTGTTATAGCGATTACTTACAATAATTTAGTATTAAAACAAGTGTGCCATCAGTGGTAATGTATAACGGGATCGGTTTAAACTCTGCCCGAGGAAGTGGTACTAATGGTTACGTCCAGAAGAATCTGTCATTTGTTAAGGCAGTGAAAGATAAGTTTCAATATAAGAGTGAGGATGACTTCAAACGGCTGGAAAGGGAGTTATGTAAAGTTCCCAACAAAGATATATTAGAGCACCAAAACAAACGACAAATTGAATTGAAATGTCTTCAAATGCAAGACAATATGGAAATGCAAGGGTTGGTCACCACAAATGATTGACAACAAATAAATCTTGTTTTTTCATTAATTTTTTTGTCTAATCCTATTAGGTTTTCACCCGAAGAAATTGAGACAAAAGTTCGAGAATTTAGAGAGACTTTAATGAAACAAAAGGACAGACAAAAAGAAGATTCTTCGAAACGAAGGGATTTAGTGAGAGATTGGTTTCGGGAAGAATCGGATAAAAAGTAAGTAAATTGATTTTGACTTAATTTGATGTTATAATTGATTTGTTTATCATCTTTTGTGAAACGCTGCCATTTGTTAACACAAAGACGAACAATAAATTGATCCATTGATTATATGTCTTATAATATGCTATTAAAAATTTGATATATATTTAATTATTAATTATTAATTTACTAATATTTAATTAAATGACAACTTTAATAACAAAAGTCAAATTAGTCAATAAATAATTTTGACAAACAATCAATAATTTTATGTTTGAGAATATAATTTTGTATTACTGTATAAATARTGTGCCAAATGCTTACTGTAATGATTCAAATTAATTATTACTCATAATTTTTTAAAAATTATTGGTATTTGAATTTATTTGACAAATAATATTTACCGGTAGTATAGTTATAGTATTTTATTTATATAATAAAAATAATTATTTTCTTAACTATAAATATGATGCTTACTACCGGTATTTAAATTTATTTTAATTAAAAATTCATAAATGTGAATTTATTATTTAAAACAATTGTACAAAAATTGTTTAATGTTTTACAAAACGCTATTACTACTACTATAAATGTATTAGTGATAAACTACGGTATATCAATTTGTAATATATATTTTTAAAGAAAAAATACATAAATATTATACTATTTTTCTATAGTATATTACATGAGAATTGTCACTTAATATCCATTAAATATTTGTTTAATGACATAGAGTTTGTGCATTAAAGTCACTTTCAGTTGACTGATATGATTACCGCAATATAAATAAGCTAATGATTGAGAGACTCCACACATAGATAGGTTAGCTTTCATAGAAAGTAGCTGTTAGAGCATAGATTGCTATACTTTAACTGTAGTAGTAATGTGATAGTGATAGTGCTGCTTAATATTGTATAGCAGTTGAGATTGTAAGTCAAAAAGTATTGATATGTGATTCAGTAATAGAGATGCTGGGGATGACTGGATAAAGCATCTCAAATGAGAAGATGGAGGAGAAAAGTCAACTACAAGTGCTCTCAATTTTTCCATTTATGTCTCATTTGTCACTAATCTCGTCATATATTCTTTAAAATAATATTCTAATGTAAACTTTGATTAAATAATTTAGCGATTATGTTAACCAATGATATTAATATACTATATATATATATATATATATATATATATATATATTACTTTTTATTTGTAATATTATATTGATTGAATACTAATGTTGTTTTTCAAACGCCTAAACAATGTTTTAATCAAATGAAATAATGAGTGAAATTTAAATTTAATGCTAATATCAATGAAATTGATGTCTTCCTATAATAAAATGATCGACAAAACAACTCATTTAAATATAATTTTGAGTAAAGATTATAATAAAATTAAGTGAATGTAAACTAAAAAATACTTGATTTAGTGCCTTAACAAGTCTTCCACAAGAAAATCACAAAGTCTTCCAAATCATAGATATCTTATAATTAGTGATAGTATTATAGATTTTATTTAATTGTTTCGATTAATTATATAATTATGTGTTCACCGGTTTGTTTGCAAGAGTTTCAAAGATATTGGCAAAACTCATGGCACGCGTGGTATTTGGCCACAACTGGCCAACAATCACTACCCGGTGGATACACAGCAGGTGTTACTGCTGTTACTTCCAATGCAAATCAGTCTTCCATTAATTATAATGCATTTGTACCGCAAATATCATTCCCAATCTATCGGTTCCCACTAAATCTTATCGGCGGCGACGACGCCGAAAGCGGGTTAGAGATCGCATTTTGAATCAAATATATCAGCAAAATAGTGAATATTTTAATAATAAAAGTAATAATAATAAAAGAAAAACTAATCTACAAATGAGCGTAAAAAACATCGTTAGGTATGAATTGTAGTTTTTGTTGTCGATATTTTCACATCAGTTTATTTGATTTCTCAAATCAATATTTATGGTTCATTACTACACTGATGTTAGAATTGCTTATTCAAAATGAAATTATCAAAATAAATCAATTGTGACTATTTAAGCGTATTATCAAAAATTCAATGTTATTTATACCCATTTTTAAAAAGAAAAATTGTGATGACATTTGAATTTTATATTAAAAATGACAAATCAGTTAATCATAAATTTTTTCTATAATAGTGTTAAAGAAACTCATAAATTGGCGGAAATGAACCACAAAAAGAATGATAACTTGAAGAATGCGTTGAGAATTAACTCCAACTTTATTGAGGGTTCATCACTGGATCCAACCCGTAAAGCCAAAGAGGCGTTGGCCAGAGAGGCAGAAAAACAGAAACGTTATGCCATAATACCTGAACCATTGGATGAACCAGTGATTAAAGTCGATGAAAATAAGAGTAAAATTAAAGAAAAACGAAAGGAGAGATCACATAAAAAGCGTTACTCTGATAGCGATGGTTCGGATTCAAAGAATGATTCGGATTCAGACAGTGAATCCTCAGATGACAGTTCCAAAAGAAAGCGTAAAAACAAATCCAAACATAGAAAGAGTTCGAAGAAACGTAAAAGTAGTAAAAACAATAAAAGTAAAGACAAAACTTCTAAAAAACGCAAATATAGTAATTCTTCGTCATCTGATTCAGACTCTGGTTCTGAAAGTAGTAGTAATTCCGATAGTGATAGCAGTGATTCTTCCAGTTCTTCTTATCACAAATCACGAAATGGCCACAAGAAAAGTGATTCAAAGAAAGATTACCGACAAAGACCAAAACGAAGATCTTATTCGAAAGAAAGGGATGATTATAATCCTAAATCAACTAAAGATTATAAGGTATGTCTGTTTTATTTTGGGTTTTTATTTTGTAATCAATTATTATGGGTTTCTTTATCTTTATTCATGCAAATCGTAGAATAAGTAAATGATTTCATCTAAGAATAGGGTATATATATATTACAATAAGTTATTAATTGATATTTTTTTTATAAAACTTGAGTTTAAACTAAGTCCTGATTTTATTATATCTAAAATAATGCATCAATTTTAAGGACTTTACTTTGTATTATGTAAGTACTGTACTTCTATAGGCATTCTATTAATCATTTTTATTATTATTTATATCCTATAATATTTGTTTTTCAAGTATTTATAATTTATTAAAATAATATAAATGTTTTAAACCTAATATAGGATTCGACTCATAAAAAGGATAACAACAATGAATCAAACAAAACGAGTCGTTTGATTGAAATGAATATCAAACAAATGAGAAAAGAAGCCGAAAATACATTAATTGAAAAATCAAATGATAAACGAAATGAAAGGACTAAAGATGTAAAAAAAAACTCAAGTCCTCCTCCAAGACATCGATCTTATTCGCGATCGAAATCTCGTACAAGTGTTTCGTCAGAAGACGAACCAAAGTCGAAGCGATTGAAGAGTACTGTCGTTGAGACAAATCCTATCAATAAAAACAAAGAGATTCCAAAAAGTTATTTGAGTCATCACGAGAACAAAAGATCACATTCAAGAAATGATCGTTCAGTTAGTGCCGACCGAAGATCAAGGCATTCAAGTCACTCGAATAGATCCCGATCATCATCTGTTCGCTCCAATGATTCAAGACATTCAAATAAAAGCTATTCGTATGTATTGATTAACTATTGTTACTTAAAATTTGATAAATGAATTAATAAATTATTTCAGATCTTCAAAATCTGATTCTTCGGAATCATTGCCATCACGAAAGGGCAGTAGAAGTCCATCAATTCCTCGAAGGAAAGGATCGCCGAGTTTTTTGGAGAAACGAAGAATAACGAGGTATTAGAGGATTAAATGGGCTGCAAATCAATCATTAATTTGTTTGAGATTTTTATTTCTATATCATTAAAATTTATGTATTTTATTTGATTTATTTTTGCAATTAATGTTTAATCATATTCACCTTTTTGTGGCATTTTGTATTATAATTTATTTCATTAAATATTATTTTGATTTTGATTTGTTTGGAAATTATTTATATAATTTTATTTGAATATTTTGTTATGTGTAGTAATTTTTAATTTTTAAATGATTTAATCTACACATTGCAACTAAACAACCCATTGCTTAACTAACCGCTTCTAACAAACTAATATTGATTAACACAATAGCGCCCGAAAGCGTCCAATACCTTACCGGCGAAGTTCGCGGACGAGCTCTCGATCATCGAGTCATTCATCGAGATCTCCACTCAGTTCGCGATCACTTTCAGTCTCATCCGACTCTTTAGATGTATATCAACTCATTTGAGTTTTAGTAATACTTTAATTAATTAATATAATAGTCAATTGGTTGCATAATACCAGTTAATTGTAATTAAATTTTATTTTTAAATTAATGTCATTTAATACTTTAACCCTTTAATCATTCTATAGTAACAGCAATGTAATGCAAATAGTTGTTCAATCAAATAATGTTTATTATAACGATTACCGTATTTCCTTGCTTAATTCCCAGTATGAAAATCACAAAAATATGAAAATTAACATTTTCATATGGTAAAAACTCGCATTTTTACCACCCTTGGTAAATTATACGAGGGTGTGGGGAAAAGCAAAAATGGGGGAATGGGGAACTATAATGACCGATATTTAAAAGTAATCTATTAAAAACGGTATATTTAGTTAACTATTACCGATAATTAATTAGTTATAACAGTGTTTACAATGAATGACATATTTGTATGTTTACAGTATTTTTTCATATTATAAATGGGTAAATACATGGCATATTCAAAGCGTTTGTAACAATTAGAGACGTCAAAATACAAGGAGTGGTAAATTAAAATTTAAAGTCACAAAATATTTATTTCATATGGTTAAAAATTCGCATTATTTACCATGACTTACATATTTCCATACGGGGAATTAAGCAACATTTAACGGTAGTGACATAATTTTTAAAAAATCTTCTAACTATCATCTTAAAATTTTATACATATTTCTATAGAAATGTATAATTTTAAATATACTGTACTTACAATTTCATTAGATAAATATGTCTAATATTGTCATTATTTTAAATATATTATAAACTAAAAATTTTATCCATCGCTAATAAATGGCACTCTATAATAGACTAATTCATGGTATAGACCACACAAAGTTATTTAATGACATTAAATGATTTATTAATTATTTTAAGAAAAAGTTAACTTCAAGTTAATTAAAAAAAAAACAGTATTTGATTTTAGACTATATTATACATCAATATTACTCCTATAACTGTTAATTTATAAATAAATAAATTATAATAATGTATTTTAATTTATATTACCTCCTTTTTCCATATGGTTTATTAGTGGAGATTGACTTATATTTTAACAAAACTTTTGGTAATAAATCATGAATTAAATGATTGCAAATAAGTGACACAATTGCTGTTTGTCTAACATTTGTCTTTCTAAACACTAATTTTATATTCCCTTATCAACTGTATTATTGTCTATTAAAACTTTTAGTGTAAATCAATTGCTACTAATGACCGAAATTTTAACAAATATTGTTTTTGCATTTGCATACCATAATAATTTCATGTGTACCGTATGTACAGTAATATTAATAATAATAATATAAATTATAAATATGTCTAAACTGATAAATAGTATCTTTGATATTTAAAAAAATTATTTATTCACAGTTATCTAGCAGTAAATAAAAACCACTATTTAAGATCAAATATTTTACAATAAAATAACACTTTAAAAACTATTTTTATGCATTTGAATGTTATTTTATGAAAATGAATTTTGATCATAAAAAGGGGTTTAATAGGCAATAATTTATTTGATTTGTAATTATGTTATTTTTACTGAAAACTTTAAAATGCTTTATATCAGACATATCTTTCAATGCACTGTATTTTTTACAAAATTTTACGTATAATTACGTAAGTTTTACAAAAATAAACTACTTATACTTGATATCAAATTTAGTGGCATAATCTACATATGTTTGCTATAGCAATCTCATTTAATATATACATAGATTTAAATGTATGTACAGTATATGCTACAGTATAAATTTATTAGTTAATTATAGTATAAATTATAATAATGGCATTTTATATTGTATTAAATCTACTTGCTTATTAAAAAATGGACAGGGATATTTGACAACTATGGTATGTCAATGATATGATTATTATTGAATATTATTTAATAGATATTTTACAGAATCTGTAAAATTGTATGAAAATATTGCTAAACTAATCAATTAAATCACATATTCGTTATAACTCTTTCTATTAATTAATATATTCAAAACTTAATAATTTAGTCAATTATGTATATATTGATATAATAAATATAAAATTAAATATTGTTAGTTATAACTTACTGTACTATACACTAATACACTAATATCAATCAGTGGTGACATAATATTAATAAATATTTTTAATTATTTATATTATTTTAATTTATTAAAAAAACTTAATTTATTGAATCTACAATTATTGAAACTAATCTAGTACAACTTTAATACAATAATGTTTAATTTTTAAATTTATTCTATTATATTAAATATTATTTTATATTGGTTTATTTTTTTTAAATATTGATACTTAAATTTTATAATAATGTAATAATTGCAATAATATTTGTTGTGATAAAATACAGTACTTTAATTATATAGTATTTAATGATAATATGTAAAACAATATCATAAATGATGAAATAAAAATAATACATATTTAAAATATTTAGATTTAAACATTTAATTATTAGATAATAATTGGATTTAGTAATACAACTAATATTTATATAACTTTTTTTTCAATTATTAAAATTGACGTCAACTAAGAAATTATTGGCAGACACGATAAAACTTTTTTATTTTTTATGATATTAAATAACAGATAAATAAAATAATATTTGTTTAAATTGTTAAATCGATTATTTTCATAAATATTATGTCATTTAGTTTAGTAAAAATAATTAACAAACAATATATTAATATTAAAGTTAAATAATTTAATTAATAATTTTTTGAATTATAGTATTAATTATAGATTTAGATAAAATATTTCGTTAGTTTTTTCAATGGTATTCACAGATATTATGTGTAATACAAGGGCTTAGTTTTGGGAAAAAATTATTTTAAAAAATGTTTAAAAAATTTAAATAAAACAATTTTTTCAACAAAAACAAAGTATATTCAAAGTAAATTAATTCAATTATTATTATATATTAGTATATTTAAAAAAAATGTCGCAAATAATTAGTAAAAATTAAATTATAAAAAATAATAAAATCAATTATTAGATCAATTATCAGATGAATGCAAACGTGATTTGTTGCGATATTTGCATCAGTTATTAATGCAATGAATACAACCAATAGGAGAGTCGATATTTGACTCGTTTTAAAGCTGACGACAGATATTGCAGTCAAAAGCTATATAAGAGAGAAACGACTGATAACTCAACACATCATTCAGTAATTGACTGCAAAACTGTTGAGTCTTATCGTTAAGAAATAAAAATGTCCTCAAATTCGTGTCCGAAGTCCAGTCAACTCGAGAACCACGTGAAAGGATCAACCAATGCATGGACTAAGTCGTGGTCGAAGAACTCGAAGAATCAAAAGTCTGACAAAAACAACAACAATCGCAACAACGGTTGTATCAATCAATCGATGGTCAGATGCGGTGATAATGTATCAAATGATCAGTTTCTACAAGACTTGCATTTTCACGACAGTATGTGGCGATGACTTAAAAACAATTTATAAATTATAATCATTTTTTATAATAATATTTCTAATTTATTGCATCAAAATATATAATACATATAATTATTAATTTAAAATTTAAATCATTTTTCATTATATATAACAATTTATTAAATTAATTAATTTTTATTACTTATATAATATAAGTTATATTGAATTGAATTGAATATTGAATTAAATAAAAACATTGTAATCTTTATAAATAATAATTAATAAACTATTTTCAATTAAATTTTTAAAAATGTATTCAATAATTATACAAATAATTATAAACAAAAAATATTTGCTTTAAAATAATTTTAAATTACAGTTATGTAAAAGTTATGAGAAATATTAATATTATATACTGTATTGTATTGTAATGTATTGAAAGTTGTATTAAATGTTTTGCTTTAAAAGTTCACAAAATAGCCATTGATTTAGCTGTTGATCGATTCGCTGAATAAAATGTGATGAAATGTTACAGTTTTTGTCAGACATTACCACTTGTTTTAAACACAAAACTAATTAAACATTGATTTTTGAATACATTTTGAGACGGCATTGACTATAATTTTGTTGGTATMAAAAAATACTGAAAGATATACAGACTATCTATAGTTTGAAACAAATATACAAATTATACGTATAGATTGTCTTTCATTAGCATACAATCAAAATAATTATATATTTATCATAAATTTACTATATATTTATTATATATTTATTACTGTATATCGCATTTATAATCATAAATAATAGAAATGTCTAATAAAAAATTACTATAATTGTCATATACTTTTAATTTAAATCAAATCATCAAGTTTTTAGTGAATAACTACAGTATTATTAATACAGTATAAGTTAATACCGTATATCGTTATTTTTATCATTATATTTTGTTTTTTATATTTAATGTTATATTAACTAATGTTAAACATTAATTACTAATTTTAATTAAGTTATAAATATTTATTCATTATAATAAGGTTTATCGGTTTAAATAGATTAAAGTTATTTTAATACATATTTACATTATAGTTATAGTACTATATATTTATTTAATATAATTTGTAAATTCACTCAAATTAGTCCGATATTCGGCTTAATATATAGTATCAGAGATAAATGTATCTTCAAAATGGTAACAAATATTGATAAATTTAAAATTTAAAATTCAATGCAAATATTATTTAATACTATTATTGTTATATAAGTTTTATTATGAGTTATTCAAGTTATTTAGTTATTTATTATACTTTTTCTGATATTACTGTATTTTCAATTGTTATATATTCAAAATATATTGGTTAATACAAATGTAATTAATTTGTTAAAACAAACAGTAAAATTATATCAATTTATGTTTAAAAAACTATTAAAAATGATTTACAATATAATTTTTCAATTGTTATAAATTATAACTTATAATGAATTAAATAAAAATATAGCCTATTATACACATTATTAATACAGTTTGATAAATCATAAGTAATATATAGTACAATGATTGAAAAAAATAGACTAAATTATGCTAAACTAAGAGCTAAACTAAACTAATTTTATTTTGATTGTAATAATAATGCATTGACTGTGAAAGCTATGGGAAAAATGTTGTCATATGTTTCATACAGTACTATATACTGTATATTGAATACTGTATTACTGTACAGTAGTGTAGTGTTAGTGGCGTTCATAACACTTAATACACGACACGTGAACTCAATGAGTGTTTGGTTTGTTTGCCGACAATTGCCTATTGATTGACACAAATTTGGATTAAAGTAGTGATTATCTCAAGACATAAATAATGGGAATATTAGATAAAATAAGTGAAATCGAGAGAGAGATCTCCAGAACTCAGAAGAATAAAGGTATGTCTGATATATTTCGGTGTTTTTGTCAATCAATTGATTGCATTTATAGCCACTGAATACCATTTGGGTGTCTTGAAGGCAAAGTTAGCCAAATATAGGGCACAACTTCTTGAGCCGACATCGAAATCAAAGGAAAAGGGCGAAGGATTTGATGTAAGTTTTGTTTTGTCATCGATTAGTCTTAAAATTTTTGTTACTAATTGTACGGACAGGTCATGAAAAGCGGTGACGCGAGGGTTGCACTCATAGGCTTCCCATCTGTTGGAAAGGTTGTGATAATTATAAAGTTAATGTATTGATTAAAACCGATTTATTTAATATTGATTTCTGACAAAACAGTCGACGCTATTAAACACAGTAACCGATACACACAGCGAATCGGCCGCATATGAGTTCACGACATTGACCTGTATTCCCGGTGTTATCCACTATAAGGGAGCAAACATCCAGTTATTGGATTTACCCGGAATTATTGAAGGAGCAGCTCAGGGTATGACTTAATCAAACACTCACTCTTCTCCATCCATCTTATAATTAAGTAATTATTGTCTTTTATAGGTAAGGGAAGAGGTCGACAAGTGATAGCTGTGGCCCGAACTTCGGATTTAGTGATCATTATGTTAGACGCAACTAAAAGTGAAGTTCAAAGAGAACTACTGGAGAAAGAGTTGGAGTCCGTCGGCATTCGGCTGAATAGTCGTCCACCAAATATTTACTTTAAGGTTTGATTTTAAATAACTTTTTTCAAATCAATTACCGTAACTATAATTAACTATTAATTATTTGAAATAAAAGGAGAAGAAAACGGGTGGCATTTCATTCAACTCTACATGTATTCTAACAAAATGTGACGAAAAAATGGTTCAAATGGTGTTACAGTGTTATAGTATGTCATTTGTTTGATATTTAGCCGAAAATGTATTATATAATAGAAATGATTTGATATCTGTAATGAACAGAAATATTTAACGCCGAAATCTTATTCCGAGAGGACTGTTCTCCCGATGAATTGATTGATGTTGTCCTCAAAAATAGAGTTTATTTGCCGTGTCTTTACATATACAACAAAATCGATCAAATATCCATTGAAGAAGTTAACCGATTGGCCCGACAGCCCCATAGTGTTGTTGTCAGTTGTAATATGAAACTTAATTTAGATTATATGTTGGATAAGATTTGGGAACATTTAGCACTAATACAAGTTTACACCAAAAAAAGAGGCCGTAAGTTATGATTGTTTTTTAATTATTGGCGTAGAAAATACTTACCGTACTTTAATATTGACAACAAATTTCAATTGTATAGAACCGCCCGATTTCGAGGACGGAATTATTCTACGGAAAGCATCTAATGTTGAGCACGTGTGCCATACAATCCACAGAACTATTGCCGACCAATTTAAATACGCTTTGGTTTGGGTTAGTATTGTTTTAATTGTTTTAATTTACTGTATGTTTAATTGATTTTTAATTTCAATTATTTAATTTTAGGGGACGAGTACTAAATACAGTCCCCAACGAGTTGGTCTAACTCACGTAAGTTTTGATTTAATCATTTTATAACAATTTTCCTAAATAATTGCCAAATTGTTTTTAATGATGTCTTAGGTGGTCCATCATGAAGATGTGGTTCAAATTGTTAAAAAATAATTTTATAATTGATAGCAATGTGTTATGCAGTAGTAAATTATACTAAATAAAGTATTTTAATATCATTAAGTAAATGCTTGGATTTAAATATGAAGTTTTATTTTTTTATTGATTCACATTTTTACATATTTGATATTTTTTAAAAAACACAAATTTTATACAAAAATATATTTAAAATAAAATAAATTGACTTTATATTAAGTACAAAATAAATCATAGATAGGAAAAAATAAATTGTATAGACTAGTAACAGACAAATAATTATAACAAACAAATTGATTTATTTGTTGGTTAAAACCTGTTTGAATTTGATATTTGAATTGATTATTTAAAATTAATTAAAAATATAATACAATTAAACAATTCATAAAATGGCAAAATAGTTGCCGAAAAACAGTTAACATTAACTTAAAAAATAGTGTAAAAATATAGGTAAAACATTATATATTATATACAATATACAGTACAGTATAAGTACGATAATAATTATGGTTTAGAATACCGTAAATACCGGTAATTAGAAATTATATATATATATATATATATATTGAGTATTATTATTAAAATTTTCAAACTTGAATACCTGTTATATTAATTATAAGTTCGGGTTTTGGTTCACTTAATGATGAGAGAGTGGCCGTCGAAGACGTATCATTAGTGCCATAATTCTGATTATTGAAAGGCGTCGGAGGTTTAAGTATTTCTGGAGTCATCGAAGTTGTCTCAGAAGTAGTTTTGTCACTCGATGTTGAAGAATCCGTATTTGTTTTTGTATTAACATTGTTGTCATCAATAGGCAAATCTGCCACCATTTTTATGGATTCTTCATCCAAATCAAGTTCAAAATCCGCAATGTCTTGAGATGTCGAAGTGTTTCCACTCGAAGGAATTCTGTGCAGTTCCCAGAAGTGAGGCTGAGTTCGGGTAGAAGTCGATTTGGACGACGAAATGGGAATAATGCAACTTAGGTTTGGCATTGATTGAGCGCTGTTTAGTCTTATATCCTGTTCTTTACCACTATTTATTATATATCTCTCTGCAATGTTATGACTGCTTTTTTCTGTCAAAGGAGTCGACTGTGTATTTGGAGTTTGGATAACAAGTATTGACTTATAATCAGTTGGTGGATCTACTGGAAAACTGGATGCAGAAAATGATTCGCTTGTATTATCATATGTAGACAATTCTGATGTCACTTCATGGGAAGTGTTAGATGTGGAGGTAGGTGTCGATGTGGTGGATAACGAAGACTTATCAAATACTTGTTTGTGATAAGCATTTCGAATGGTTTCGAGTTTCGATTTATTCGACTCGAACTCTGAGTCAGTCAGATCTGAACTTTCAGATGAAATCAAACCGTTTGGAACAGTTATGGGAATGTTAGACAAAGATTTAAATGGATTCATTGGTTGCGAATTATCATTTCGTTTAATTGATGGCAATGTATTAAACCACAAGTTATTTACTTTTTTCATTCCATTAAATGACTGTAAATTTTTTTGGTCGTTATTGTTATTATTGTTATTGTCTTCATATTGTACATGAATCTCAACAATACACGAACCATTCTTTTCTGTTTTCATTAACTTATCGTTTGAGTCATCTGTTTGTCGAATACCTTGCGATGCATTTGTGCGAAAGCGTCTCTCAGACATTGGAGTCGATATCTTAGACGAGTTTACATCTGTTGTTTGGACACTCAATTGTCGACAGTGTTGATTACCAGAAGAGTTATTTATGTTATTACAAATGGTATTTATTCTATTCAATGATTGTGGTTGAGAACAAGTATAAGGAGGAGGAGGTCCCCACATGGCAAACATATTACTGCTATTATTTATGGCACTGTTGTTAGCATTATATGATCGTTCAATTGGTACTAAATTATGGACATTCATGTGTTGGAATATACCGTCATTAGATCGGGTCCTTCTGTGAACAGAATTCATGGCTCTCATTAAATGTGGTCTCAATTGGTTATTCTGATGTCTATTGATAATATGTGTTGGCAACTGTGAAAGTCCATCGGAACCAATACGAGGAATAAAAACGTGTGGAGGAATAAGCATTTGATTCATTGCATGTCTCAAATGATTGTTATTTGTAGTGATATCATGTAAATCTCTATTTCTGAAAAATAATTCACGAAACCATCCATTATTACCATTGGTTGTCTGATTAGAAATATGATTATTATTATTATTTGTGTAATTTCGCGGCCAATTCAGCCAATTTGTCCAAACATTTGCTCGATTGGTAACAATTCCGATATTGTCATCATCAATGTTATTAATAATATTAAAATTATTATTATTATTATAACAACGATTGTCCAAATAATCATAAGAATGTGGGTAAAAGGACACACCATTAGACGCAGTGTTTTCATCATAATAACCATTTATTTGCAAATTTCTTAGTGAATGGTTACGGCTTTGGTGGTGAAGTATAGGCGAAATATGAGACGAAGGATAGGAGCTATGAGTGGAATGATTGCCTCTATTCTGTGTTTGAAATCTTCTTCTGAGTTCTAGTTGTTGTAGATATTTCTTCTTCTTTTGATGGCTTAGCAACTGATAGACTAACATTAGAGAGAATATGCAAATCAATATCGACGCCACCGATAAACCAAACAATCCTCTTAAACAAGTAGAGAGTAATCCTTGGACAACATCACAATCAATCGTATCTTTAAATGTGTAGCTTTGAAGACCTTGTTTTTCTATTATCACATAAAAAATCATCAATTGTTAGCTCAAGAGAAAGAGATAAATTGTAAGATTAAGAATTACCATCACTTTCGAAGCTTTTAATTAGACACAAACAATTGCCATCGACTGGGAAACAACCCGTCAATGGTTGCAAACGACTCAAGTGAACCACTGATGTGGTGACAGTCATTATGACACTCAACAAAGCACACAACAAATAGAGACCACCGATTAGTTTCACCTGAATTCAGTCAAATATTACCACTTCTTAATATTTTTTATTCAATGCAATCAATTATGTATTTCTTACCAGATATTCACGTCTTGCACCGCTCTTAGCAAAACATATAACAATGAGACCATTGAGGATGAGCTGCAATAAGATATCCCAAAAATAAATCAATCAAATCATAAACACTTAAATCAATTCAATTTAATACAAATCATATGTCGTACCAGAAGTGCCACAATATATGTAGGAATTGTTTCAAAGTATTGCAATGAAGATGTGTTTGAGCGGATCAGTGCATAGATAATGACCATCAATGAGCCGACCAGTGATGATAAACAACCGCATAATATGGACAACAAGACATACTTGTGACCAAAACAAGTGGACCGCACATCAGTTAAATTTGCCATTTGTATTGTCACTGGTCTTCAATCACATCCCATAACACAAATAATTATCACATTTGCATTGACCATCACTTATACATTGTTCACATGTAATACCAAACAAACTAATTGATTGATTGATCAAAACATTTGTCACAACACTTGTAATAACAAAAACAATGCAAATTAATGACAATTATATTGAATGAATAGAGAGTACACTTAACGAGCAAAACAAATGATCAAATAAGTCAAACATAACGTAATGTCTAATGTATTGGTTGTACAGTATATTACATACCAGTGTTCATCACTGCTGTTATACTATACTATTGAAGGGACCCTCAAAATCAGTTCAATGATTACGCTATATGTGGTGACTGAGTGCTATTGGCCTATATATGACTGTCCCATATATTTGCTACTATAAGATATACACTGTATATTATACAGTATGGCCCATAAGTTATGGGCCATAACCAGGGTTTTAAGGAAATAAATGCCTGCCCTGGCAATGCCCAAATAGATGCCATAAATGCCTGGCATTTTGGGCATCTATTTTATTTGCCTGCCAATTTAAATTGCTAAAAATCAACTGTATTTATAAAAATAATGTAATTTAGTGTTTTAACGTGTTAATTAAATTTACAATTAATTTACTTATTTCCAATGATATTACCTTTTAATTAAAGGTATACAAAACAAAAATACAAGCAAATATATTATAAAAACAATGGTTTATAAATTATTTAATAATATAAAATTAAAATAATAGGTGTCACCACCTGAAAATAGATGCCCAGGGCATGGCAGAGGCAGGGCAGGCATTTGGCAAAATTGGCATCTATTGTTTATGCCTGCCATTTTTAAAACCCTGGCCATAACACACACACACACACATACACACACATACACACACATACACACACATACACACACACACACACACACACACACACACACACACACACACACACAGTCTCTGTGTTTCGCTTTTACTGTATTAGACACACAATTAAATGTCGAATTTAAAACTTTTTATTTTTAATTTAACAAATTTTGTATATATTTATTATAATATTTTTTTTTTACTTTTAAAAACTATTGTTTTTTCTACAACAAAAAATCTTAATTATTGTATTTAGAAAAAAAATCAAATATAATTTGAAATTTACGTTTAAAACTACAAGTATTGTCCATAAAAACTTGTATATAGCCTGAGGTGATCTAACAGTCAATAGTATTATACTATAAGTATTATAAGTATACTATACTATAGTCATTGATATTACTGTATAAATATTGGCACTAATATTGAACAAGAATTTCCTGCGAAGCGGTCATTGAAAGTAACAAAATATTTTGTTTGCAATCATTTCAAACATTTGCCTATTTTTTAATGAATAATATTTTTTTGTTTTGCTTTTACTTTAAATTAAAAAATCATTTAAAAAATCATTATTTCAAATCTAATTTGTAAATCATAGTCATTGACTTTAAAAATTATTTCTTAATAATTAAGATAAAATATTTTGTAACATATTTCAAAAATTTACATAATTTTTTATTTAACATTTGTGTGATTAAAAATCATAATAAATTATTTAATACATGCATTAATTGCAATTAACATAAACATAAACTTCCCTTTCCTTAAAAACATTTATTTAATCAATTATTTACTCAAATTATACAGTATATCATAAATTAAATTTATAATATGATAATATATTAACAGTAATATATGTTTTTAATTAAAACTTAATGTATTTTATACGGCAATACCGGTATATTGTATTGTTTTTTGTTTATTTAAGTTATTATTTATTCATTATTATTATTATTAGGACACATGATATTATTATTAATCAGTAAACGATTAATGTTTATAATTATAATTAATATAAATTCAATAAAAATATTTCATTTGTTCAAATATGTACAGTAGAGTAGTTAAAAATTTAAATTTAAATCTACTTATTTTAATCGGGAATAAAATACTGTATAATGTGTACTACAGTTCATATATTGTATATGAACCTAAATGACCCTAAAATTAATCATTTAGTGAGAATAGTTAACCTAGGTTATATTAAAAATTTAAATACAGTACAACTTGTACAATGCCTAGAATTTAAGTCCTAGATGCATTTTAAAATGAGTCATCTTAAAATTTAACAAGCTTATTGTTGACTAGATTTTTATTAATATGATTTATCTATTCAACTATAAATTAGCATGGTAACATTTTAATATTATTCATTTTAATATAAATGCTCTGAGAGTGTGTGTATAAGTAAAGTATAAAATATAACAAATATAATACAAATGTAATATAATATAATGTTTATGAAAATATTGAATACATGATAAAGTTGTAAATCTTGTTAATAATTGCATCACTTTTTTACTAAACTTTTTGTTAATTTATTGTACATTAATAAATGTATTCAATGTATAAAAGCTTTAGTTATAGTGACTAAATGTACAGATTTTTATGGTTTTTGTATATAAATTTATATAATAATAATAATAATATAATATTGAGTTTTGTCTAAAATAATGTTTTATAAATTAGATGAATGCACTATTTAGTGCTAATTTTAGTGCCCATAGAATATAACTGGTGTGAAATTAATAATAAAAATAACCATGGTATATGAAATGACCATGGTATATGAAATAACCATGGGCAATCGATAATTTATTATTATTATTATTTACTGTACAGAGAATATCATAGTTTACTCGTTGATGACAATACTTTAAGTGTAGACGTAATTGATGGACAAAATGTATGGACAAAGAGATTGATTGCGAGTGAAAGCATTGAAAGCATTGTTTGCATTGAATATCCGTTTCCATAGAAAATGTCAGTCAATTGAAAGCAATTGAAATGAAGGGCTCTATTGAATGACTCATCGCATCAATGGATGAATTGATTGTTTGTTACCGTAAATGACAATTAAGTGACAATTAAATGACAATTAATTTATTTGTAATTAACTGTATATTGTATATACATATCATATAAAACACTACTAATGGCCACAAATATGTTGTCATTTTGAATGAAAAAAGAGTAAATTAAAAGCCGAAGAGATGACCGAAAGTCAAGAAGAAATGTCTGACAATTACTTAACGAGTCATTTGACGACAGAATTGAGACGTCTTCGGGAATCATATTTAGATCACATCTTAGAGTTATATCTGTTGGAGACAAACGGCAATCTCATCGACTTTTATGGTTATCGCAAGAGAGTCACCAACAATGAGTTGATTCAATATCTGAGAACCACTTCTCTGCAAAACAAAGTGTTTGCCGACGAAGAGATCTCGGAATTGATTGCTCTCAAGTCGTCACAGGACTCGACATCATTAAAACAGTCAGACTTTGTCACTACTGATACAGTATTGTCTACGACGACACCTATCACTACCACTGCAGTCACTGTAGTCAATGCTTCCTATAATAGTACAACAGTTCCCGCAGTATCGTCACAGTCATCACCATTGACTAAACTACCGCATAGTATCTCTACATCGGTGGCGACGACACCAAAAACAAGTCAAACACCTACTGAGTTAACTCCATTAGTAGTGACGAGTACAACACCGCTGTCCACCAATAAAAGTGTTTCTCCGGTTGGCTCTCGACTCCAAACACGACAGCACTCTATCTCATCATTTTATGATTCATCCCTCGGAACACAGGACCAGATCGTTGAACGGGCCAAACATGAAGCGGCTGTTGTCCAGAGGGTTGCAGAGCTTCGGAAACAGGGTTTATGGTCGAGTAGGAGGTTACCTAAAGTACAGGAACCGATGCGCAAGAAAACGCATTGGGATTATCTGTTAGAAGAAATGCAATGGTTAGCGACTGATTTTTCTCAAGAAAGGAAATGGAAGAAAGCGGCGGCCAAGAAGTGCGCCAAAATGGTTGTCAAATATCATGCGGACAAACAATGTTTTGCTGAAAGAGCAGAACGTGAAGAATTGATGAAAGTGAAGAAAATTGCTTCAAATATTGCAAAACTTGTCAAAAGTTTTTGGTCTGACGTCGAAAAAGTATTTGAAGCCAAACAAGAAGTCCGTCTCAACGAGAAACGCAAGAAATTACATGACATGCATCTGAACTTTATTGTCGATAAAGCGGATCAATACACTGAACGATTGACGCAAGAATTAGGAAAATCAATGTCTATTAGTAGCACTGAAAGAGATGAAGAAATGGTTGATAATGAGTTTCATCCAGACATTAGTGAATCTGATGACGAAGAAACCATTGCTAAAGAAGAAGAAGAGGTTGGAATTGGAGATAGTGTTTCAGAAATCGAATTATTGAAGAAAGAAAGTGAAATACCACTCGAAGATCTTTTACCAAAAGGTATAGCTATAGTTGGTTCAATAGATGGCAATATTGATTCAACTGAACACGAAGACAAAGAGTTTGAAGCTCTGGACGAAGAAGTGGAAGATGAAGAAGATACCATCGAAGAAGAAGAACAAAAAGAAGGAAAAGTAGATTATTCTGCAGAACTTAAAGAACTTGACGATGATATGAATGTTCCCATTCAAGAACTAATATCTAAATATAGTTCTATTGATGCAAAACAAGAATTGGACAGCGATGACGATGAAGATGACATGGAATGTGAAGATGAAACAGAAGAAGATGATAATACAGAAGCAGATGAAGAATATTGTAATGAGAATACAACAGATGATGAAGAGGCCGGAGAAATAGGAATGGAATTCTTGATCAATCCGGACGCTAATCATAGTCTATCTAAACCATTGATAGAGGTATGTCTTAGTGTTATTTGTTATATTCATATTTATTTAGTTTTACCCCCTTTTCAACGCTTCATGAATAACTTATAATTAGTTTATTATGTGAATTATTTATTAAAAGGGGATATAAATAGATCTGCTCTAAAAACACCGCAAATATTTTATTCATATAATTGCGAGACCTGAGGGTTGATACATGTATTAATGATTTTATTATTTCTAGGAAATAATAGACGATAAAAGTGCCAAAACCTCTGGTGCTCCAAATCGTGAGATTACTGATATCGCGGCCGGCGCTCAAAGTCTTCAACCCAAAGGAAATACATTTCAAACGACAAAAGTTTGTACAAAAGTCCCATTTTTGCTCAAACATGAACTTCGAGAGTATCAACACATTGGTCTCGATTGGTTGAGTGCAATGTATGACAAAAAATTAAACGGTATTTTGGCCGATGAAATGGGTTTAGGAAAAACCATACAAACAATAGCATTATTGGCACACTTGGCGTGTGATAAGAGTAATTGGGGACCACATCTCATTGTTGTACCCACCAGTGTTATGTTGAACTGGGAAATGGAGTTTAAGAAGTGGTGTCCGGCTTTCAAGATATTAACATATTATGGAAGTCCTAAAGAGAGAAAACATAAGCGTCGGGTAATATATAATAATTTTTATATATTATTGACTTTATTTATTGAGGCTTAGAGTCACTTAATTAGCTGATTAGTGTTGATTAAGTGCTAAAGTTTACTCAAAAATTATATTTACTGTTTATGCGCCTTTTGTTTGCTTTTTATATATAACTTAAGGTCACCTAATATCAGTAAACAAATAATTAAATAATTAAATTTATTTTAAAGGGTTGGACAAAACCAAATCAATTTCATGTATGTATTACATCATACAAACTGGTTATTCAAGATCACGCATCATTCAGAAGAAAAAAGTGGAAGTATTTGATTTTAGATGAGGCCCAACACATCAAGAACTTTAAGTCTCAGAGATGGCAAATGCTTCTCAATTTCAATACCTCTCGAAGATTGTTATTAACTGGAACTCCATTGCAGAACAATCTAATGGAATTGTGGTCTTTAATGCATTTTCTTATGCCTAATGTATTCCAATCGCACAAAGAATTCAAAGATTGGTTCGTGAATCCGGTCACTGGAATGGTTGAGGGAAACAATGAATACAATGAAGGACTCATTCGTCGTCTTCATAAAGTTCTCAGACCTTTCCTATTAAGACGTTTGAAATGTGATGTCGAGAAACAATTGCCAAAGAAATACGAACACATTGTTATGTGTCATCTCTCTAAAAGACAACGATTTCTTTACGAAGAGTTTATGTCTTTAAGAAAGTATGTCATTAAAAATACTTTAATTTTGTTAAACATTTATTGAGTGTTTTATTTATTTATGCTTTAATTTCAGGACAAAAGAAACACTTATGTCCGGAAATTTTTTGAGTGTTATTAATATATTAATGCAATTGAGAAAAGTATGTAATCATCCGAATCTATTTGATCCGCGACCAACAGTATCTCCGTTTATGTCTGAACCCATTGTTTACAAAACTTCATCATTAGTAACAACAGCATTAGATTACGACCCATTTAGACACATCAATCTTAGTTGTCTTAATTTAATTTTATCTGAACTATCATTTACATTGAGTGCATTTGCACACCATAGGATTGTGCGTTTTATGACTAGTCCTGAATTTATACAAGAAATTGATTCGGCACCTGAACCACCTCCTCGTTGTCCTCGCGGAAAAATTAGGCTTCAAATTAGAACATCAACAATGCATTCCTCAAATACCATACAAAAGACTCCATCAAACGTTTCATCACTCAATCAATCTTCTAATAAAAATAATGATCAAAAATATTTAATGACTGGCATTCATACACAAAACAGTCCTGTTTTAAAGTCACCCACAGCTACTACCTCTTCATCAGATGGTTTGTTTGTTTTAAAAGTGTTATATTTATTGAACTAAAATTATATAATGTTTAGGACGAGTGGCCATCCCAGTGGGGCGTTTGGTTCAGACACCTACCGGTCCTCATATACTTTTACGAACGTCTTCTGGAACATCACTTTCATCGACTATTCCTCAATCAATTGTAAAGCAAAGTCCTATGCGACAAATTATTGTAAAAGCAATGTCACCCAATGTCGGTATGTTTTCACTTTATTATATACTTTATAAATGTTACTTTGAGACAATCCATACTGTTATAAATAGTTGTAATATTATAAGCAGTTTCCATAATCTCAAATAACAAATCTGATTCATCCATTTGCTATATTAATATTTAATATAACGAATCAGCAAAATTCAGAAACATATATATTATAATAAATGATTATATTTTAAAGGTTCAAATAGTAGTCAAGAATCAAATACTAATTTATCAAAATTGAATTCAACGCCATTTCGTAAGTCATCGTTAGTCTCAAAACAGTTGACCGAACGTAAAGAAAAGTTAACATTTTTGTCGCGTATTAATCAACGCAAATGTTTGGCCACAGCTCTATATGCATCAGATTTAATAGAAGTTTCGACTGTTAGTTATAATCCAAAATTAGTGACAAAATATGTCCCAATTGGTAGTTCAGTGTTTAATATTGGCAATGGATATCTCAATTTAAAATTAGCACCATTTGCTGATCACTACCGAAATAATTTGTGGCATTTTACTGATTGTTTAATTGATTTAATCAAAACACCCGAAGCACTTGTAGAAGATCTGAAGGAAGTATTAACGCGTTTTATGTGTATAGTTCCCCGTGTAATGACTTCTCCCATTCAATTACACGCTTCTCATTTACCATCGTTTAAAAAGATCCAAATGGATAACTTAGGGGCGAAACTGAGTTATGAATTGTCAAACAAATTGGATGTTTTGCATACACCCTATTCATTGATGAGAATCCAATTTCCAGAACTAAGACTTATTCAATATGATTGCGGAAAACTACAAACATTGAACAAATTGTTATGGGATTTAAAAACCGGTGGACACAGAGTACTGATATTTACACAAATGTCGCGAATGCTCGACATATTTGAACAATTTCTCAATCACTGCGGACACACATATTTACGTTTGGATGGCACCACCAAAGTTGAACAAAGACAGGCTCTTATGGAGCGCTTTAATGCAGACAAACGAATATTTTGTTTTATACTCTCAACTCGTTCCGGAGGAATCGGTATTAATCTTACGGGTGCTGATACTGTGATATTCTATGATAGCGATTGGAACCCAACAATGGATGCACAGGCACAGGATCGGTGCCATCGTATTGGTCAGACTAGAGATGTCCATATCTATAGACTTATTAGTGAAAAAACTATCGAAGAAAATATTGTTAAGAAAGCCCAACAAAAAAAGTTATTGGGAAGTGTGGCCATCGAAGGCGGCAACTTTACCACAGCTTTTTTCAAACAAAATGCAATACACGAACTGTTTGGTATCGATTTGCCATCAATTGAAGAACGTGTAGACAATCGAACAAATACTAATAATGAAGATACATCTTCTGCTATGCTTGACTTTCAACTCGAACAAGCTTTAGGAACAGCTGAAGAAGCTAACGATGTGGCGGCCGCTAAAACTGCTGGCGCAGAGGCTGAGGCCGAGTTTGCAGAGTTTGATGAAAATATTCCAATTGATTCTGAATTTAAAGAGGAAGAAAAAAGCCCTGAAGAAGAACGAATTGATGAAATCATTGGACAGGTTTGCGATTTTTTTTATTTTAAAAAATTTATAGTACACTAACTTAGCATTGATTATAAATTAATAGCTAACACCTGTTGAGAAGTATGCCATGAAGTTGTTAGAAGTATTACAAGAATCGGTTTCATTCGAGCAAATAAAACAGGCAGAGGTTTGTTTGAATTATGATAATTGTATTTTCAGTTTTTTAATAAAATTATTTAAATTAGGAGGAAATAGAAACGCATAAAAAGGAATGGGAGTTAAGAAGAATTGAAACCGTAAAGGAAGAACAGATTAAAAAACAAGAAGCCATGGAAGAGGATAAGGAACCGCTGTTGACGTGTTATCGGGAGGACGCTTACAATCAGGTCAATACTCGGTCCAAATTAGTTACCGAAACAATTGTTAACAATAATCGCCAGAATTGTGTTAAATCAAAGTTTAAAAGAGTTAACACTAGAGCTAATAATAATAATACTAATATAAGTGTCGATAGTAATCGCAATATTGATTCAAAAGTAAAACAAAATTATATAAAAGTTAAACCAATTAATAAAATAAGTAAACGTGAGGTCAGACGGTCTCCACGTTCTCCAGTAATACCTATTCAGAAATCTAAAGCTAATATTGCAAACAATTTTCATAGCACTAGTAATCATATAAAGCGTTCAAATGCTAGAATCGTGTCAAAGCCTTTAGAGAACGGCACTCAAGCTATCGGTGCAAATGCATCGACTGTCCGAAGGAGTCGTTGACTCTCTAAAAATAGTTATTTTTAAATCGTATGACTTGTGATTAATATTGGTATCAATTTAATTGTGATTATAAATTTAAATATAGAATTGATTCCATATTTGTCACAATATATATATATATAGAAAATTATATATTTGTAAAGTATTTGTTATAATTTATTTGATTTTCATTATGCTTGTTATGTATAAAAAAAATATTAAAATAATAATTTCTTAAGAAAAAAGTCTCATTTCTATTGTGTGCATATTTTTTCTATTAAAAGCACTTTTGATGGCATATTAGGTTTTGGTGTTTTGTTTTTGGCTAACGATTCAAAATATATATAAAAAATTATTATAAAGTTAACGAAAGAATAGTTACTTTTTGTTTGAGAGTCGTTTTGCAGAAAATATCATTTCTTTTGGTGTTTATCTGTAGTGTTATTGTCGGCACCAAAACTTTTTATGTCCGACTCTTTCATTCAGTTGTGCTTTTGATTGAAACCCAAAGAAATGAGATTTTTTTTGCAATTCTGGCGATCAAAACGAAACAATTAGTTTATAATTTATAAAATAATCTCATTTTAAAAAAGTAACTATTCTTTCTGTAGGTGTTTATATCATATAATGGTTTTGAACAAATGCCGGTAAGTTTGACTATTATTTTCTTTATGCGTCCAATCGTTTCAATGGCTATCTTATACGGCAACAGATATGGGCGCCACCGACTCCACCACAGGATGAAAATGATCTCTATATTGACTATTCATTGGGTTTTCTTTATGAAACAACGCCAATGACTGAACAACAATTGCCACCAATTTTTGTACCAAAGGAACCAAATAAGAGACTAAAATTAGACTCAAATATCGGTAGGAATTGTTATGCGATTATATTTATAAAAAAAACTATTTGTATATATTTATATATCAGTATAATTATGTATAAAATTAAAATAAATTGATTCAATTGAATTAGTTTATACAAATTCAATTGAATCAATTTATTTTAATTTTATACATAATTGCATTCATTTTATCATATGATAAAATTACTACTTAAAAAATTGAGTTATAACTTAAGTTAGAATAGGTTTATAAATTTTTAGTTAGTTATTTGTAGACATAAATCAAATATACTTAAGAGTAATATCGGTGCAAACATAACATAATCTAATGAATTGTACGAATGTTTCGATAGCTCGTAAACAAAAAAGTGGTCGAAAAGAGGAGGGCTTTAATATCCCGCGTTCTCTGTTTGATCGGCCGTCGACTTCAATCATTAAACTTCGTCGGGAACTTATTTTACAAAAACTTAAGGGAATATTAGTTTGCGGTCCGGAAAATGCTGCCATTCATAGGACATTAAATGCATTGAATGCCAGTTGTTTGTTACCACAAACAGCTAATACGCCCGCCGGTACTCAAAAAGCAGCTCAATTATATGGTGGACCTCTTCAAGACTCAATACCCAAATGGGCAATACATGAGGACTGGACTATACTTCAAGTGATTCAACATTTTCAAGATCTGCCGTTAAACTTATTGATAGTATCTCCTGGACACGTACCCAATTGGGATCTAGTCTCAGATGTTATTAATATGAGTAGTTGTAACTATAGGTCACCTAAACTATGCCGTTATCACTATGACGTTGCCATTGTTCCGCGCGAAGAAGGCAAAGCAAATAATGATTTGACACCTAAACCGAAACAAAAGAAAATGAAAGGATTACCTACTCCTGTCGTCCCATCCGGTTCTGTTAACTCGGCTATTAGCACAACTATACCACCACTCGCTGCTTCAACTACCAAATCAGGTGCTATCACTCCTAACCGTATAATAAAGACAAGTCAATTGATAAGTGAAGACAATAATATGTCATTCACTCAGTTATGTAGTCACAGATTTGAAACTATAAAACAAATTGCAAACAAAAGGACTCCAACTCTGAAACATATGTTTGTGAATCCGACGGCAAAAAATCCGAAACATATTGCTTTACTTTCAGAAAGTGGTATCAATTTTGATCAACCATTGACACCAATTCAAGTGGCGAGCAATCGGGCCGAACGTATATCAAGAGAAAAACAGAAAGCAGTGGCAGAACAACAAATGGCTGCGAGACAACTGCAACAACAGTTGCATCAGAAACAACAACAACAGTCTAACATAAAGGCTATACTTACACCAAATAACATTCAATCAGCTCAACAACAGTTCAGTCAAACTATTAGCGCTAAGATGAGTGCAATTAATCAAACGACTATTAGTAAGGGAACGGCCGGTCCAGCGATGACAGCAAACGTAAGCACCGGAACAATCACTCAATTGAGTCTTAGTAAAGCAATATCACAGGTAAACGTGTCGTCACAGCAATTGTCGCAACCAATACTCAGTCAAATCAATGTGAGCTCACAAAACATTGTTCCGACAACTGTGGGCACCAGTGGTGATGGTATCACTCAAGGAATGCAACCGACCTGTTCAGTGGTGTCTGTGGCCTCACTGCCGCCTCAAGTACAGCAAAAATTAATTGCTGCTGTCTCGCCAGCAACAGTTGGCCAAATGACCGGACAAAATATGGCCACTCGATTGACTACAGCAAACCCTCAGATTTATAAACAAATTATTCTTCGCAATCAACAACAGCAACAAATTCCGAGACAACAGACGCCACACATTCAGATGCAGACAATTCCTCAAACATCCAAACAAATCACTAACATTGGTGTCACTCAACAACCTTCACGTTTTCAGATCACAGCTACTGTTCCGCAACAAAGCACTCAACCTACTCAGTCTATTATAGCTACTCCTACTGTCAAGACTTCTCAGTCTAACGTTATAACCACTCTTCCTGTAGCTGTTCCGGTAACTGGAACTCAACAAAGAATAACAACAACGACAGGAACAGGTAAACCAGTTCAACAAATAATCACCCGAACTATTACTGATCCAATACAAATGGCACAACTATTTAAACGACAAGTTGTGGGCCAACAAAGCTCAGGTAATTTAAACCAAACTCAGATTCTTGTACAGCAATCAGCCTCACATCAAACTCAATCATCACAATCTCAAACACAAATACTTCAAAATCCCGTGACATTTGTCAAAACTCTGTCTTCACCGGCGACTTTAGCCACTCAGTCACTTACGATTCCTATTACAATGACTGGAATGAACATATTTACCACACCGGGTACTAAAGTAATGTCGCCAACGGCTTCAAGTGTTACCACAAGTGCCATAACATCAATTCCAACGACTCAATTGAGACAAATTCAGTTATTACAACAAAAAAGATCACAACAGAATCCACAAGTCATACAACAGCAACAAATACAGAGTCAACTGAACCAACAAATAGGTAAGACTTGTGTCCATTGATTGTAAGCCATTCTCACTAAATAATACATAAATAAATCTCATCTTTAGATTAATGAGACTAAAGACAAAAGTCTACTTATTATATATTTGACGGCATTTATAGTTTGCATGAATTACAAGATTAAAGAGCATTCAAGTTATTTGAAATTTATTTTAAAAGACAATTTAATTTAAATACATTTTCTTTAAAACTCATTACTGAGTTTGTGATATTTGTGAGGAAAATCATTGCTGACATTAATAATAAATAACTTCTAGGATTTAATCCAATATTTCAATAGTAAGTAATAATTGTTTTCCTACCAAAAAAGGTCAACAAACTCAACAAAAACTGATGACCGCTACAATCAGTGGCCAAACAAAGGGTACGACATCTATACAAAGCAGTGGAGCACCGGTAGCACAGTTCCAAATTGTTCACCAATCGAGTGCCGGATCGCAAACAAATGCAAACACCAAACAGTTACCGCCGGGAGTGACTGTTCAACAATTGCAACAGGCATTGCATAAAGGGTTGGTTTTACCACCACATATGTCAACAATTGTAAGTATTATATTTAAATTAAAAAGTAATTGATTTTTTAATAGTAGATGTAATTTGAAAAACATTTCAATTGCTTGATAGCATGTATCACAAAGCGGTACCAGTACTACAACCGGCGCCACTTTGATTCCACAATCGATTCTACAGGCCGTCAGTCAATCGAAATTATCCGACAGTTCTCAGCAAAACACATCTACATCTGTATCACAAATCACACCAAATCAACAAACAGTTAAACACATTCAAGTTGTGTCCAGTGCTTCATCACAAACACAGTCTTCGGGAAGTGTTACACCAAAAAGTATTATTATCTCAGGACAGCCCACTATATTACAAACCACATCATTACAATCGCAGCCACAAACAGTTACTTTTGCTATAAGAGCGGCACAAAGCACCGGAACTTCACAACCAGTATGTCATATGTTTTATACAATATTTGCTAAGAATTCTAAATATATATATTTTTTAGACAATTTCATCACAAACTGTAACAAGCGTTCAAACTTCAGACACAAACGCTGTCACCACAAGTAATAGCAATTGGATGAACACAATAACTAAAGAAACAGAAATTAAAGAGGAATTTGATGTCAATAATCCACAATCTTCTTCACGACAATCTCCTTACGGAACTCGACAAAGAAATACAAAAAGTTAAATCATTTGACAATAAGTTTATTTGACAAAAGATAGAGACTATTGACTTATTGATCAATCAGTTGATTAAACAATTGAAAAAATGTTTTCTTCGCTTTATTTTCACTAATATATGACTTGATATTCAGTAAAATATTTAAAGTTGATTATAAAAACTTATTTGTTAATGTTTAGTAATGTATTGTAATTTTTTGTAAATAAAATTAATAAAAATTTCTGTTATGTAATGATTTTGTTTAACTCCAAAATTTACAAATAAGCTGTTCTTCAGATATCATTTGTGTATTTAAAACGAATGATTTATTTAAAATAATAACTTTTTAATGATTTACTAAAATTAATGCATACATTAAATTCACAAAAAATAGTCCATAAATTCTTGTGTAAAAACATTAAATTATTTATGTTTTCTGTCGTATTCTTTCCTTTTAGTCTTAAGTTTTTCAGCTTCTCTGACACTTCTCTTCTTTCCAAACATTATCTTCGAATATAACTTCTTTTTCTTCTTAGGTATCATAAGAACTGCCAATCGTTTCTCTTCGCTTTCCTGTTGTTTTCGCAATCTTTCCTTATCTTCTTTGACCACAAGTCCTGGTCTGACTGACATTTCGTTGTCTTTACTTTCATTGTCTGTCTTTTTCTTTTTAGGCTTTGGTTCAGGTATTTCTTCATCACTTTCTTGCAACTCTTTTTCATCTTCATTATCATTAGATTCAAATTCATTTGATTGCAATTTCTTGAGCGCCAATCTTTCTGGAGGAACATATTCTCCTTCAGATTCGGTAACAAATGGAGACAAATGTGGCGGTAATTTAGCTCCGATAAAGTATTGTTGAACTGGAAGTAATATCTGTGCATTGATACAGTCAAACACCCATTGAGGCTGAATATAAAAACGATTCATATATTTCGATTTAATTTCCTCTCTGTCGACAATTTGATGAGTAATTGTTTCATCATTTTCATCGAAAGTGGATCCAATGTGTAGTGACTTATCCCATGAAACTTCTCCTCCAAAACATCTTATAACAAATACAAGTGATTCGCGCGGAACCTCTCGATTTAGAAAAAACTTAAATCCTTTAAATAAATTCTGAAATTTAACCAATTGATGGAATGACAACTCAGACGAATTATTCTTCTCTTCGATGTCTTCTTCAAAGTCATCTATTTTTGTTAATTGATCTGAATTTATAAAACTAGTCAATGGCTTATTAAGTGCAGCGACTAATTGTTCGCTATCCATGTCCTCCAATTCCGTAACCGATTTATCGATAATCTATAAAATCAAATATTAATAATCATTAAATTGTTTTTATTTATTACATATTTTATAACTTACTTTCGGTGGATATACTAATGAATTGTTGGCATAGAGTTTGTAATTAACAAAACCTAATAAAGTGACATAAAATTCAGCAAAAGTTCGCATCACTTGAAAGTCGACATCAGATATGCGCTGAAAAAATAAGTTATTATTGTTAGCAAAATATATTAAATATAAAATATCGTAATGTTATTACATCGAAAACAAATTGGTGCGGAACCACCCATCGGACAGTTTGGCCACTAATGTCCGCCTCATAGTAATAGCCTTTTATGGATATAAAGACTTTACGCAAAGCCTTGGTTTCGATAACATAATGCAGAAACTCAAGTGTCAACCGTCGGCTCAGTTCAATCAACTCGAGAGGCAGTGACCGCGACTTTGGAAACATTGCGTATAAAAAGCATAGACTAAGACCATCGTCAATGTCTCGGAGGGCGTCGATAAAAGTCGGATATCTTTGTAAATAAAGTCAATAAAAATGAAGGATTTCGGCAATAAAGTCAAATACCTTTCCCTAACGATATGATCCACTTTATAGAACGGCTTATTCTCACGAATCCTCTTCACTGACTCCGAGTCTTTGCGTCCCTTCGCGCGGACGACTCGTCGCATAAAAATCTTGTGTCCAAAACAATCAAATTATTTTTTTGGTTACAATAAAAATATGAATAAATGACTTACTTTGAAGTCCCAGAACTTCCATATAATTGGTTCGTGTGATAGATATTGAATGTCTTTGTGAAGATAATATGTCTTATTGGATGAACTGCCGGTTGAATTGGTTTTCTTCTTGTTTTTCGGTTCCACCGGATGTATGCCTTTCAGTATACATATTCGTCTGCAAACAGAGTATCATATTATCAGTTAAACAATCAATTAATTGTATTAAATCATCCAAATATTTGAAGCAAACCTGAAGTCTTTAAGTGACAATTGAAGTCTTCGTATGGCTTGACCTCTGGTCACGAACGCCACTCTGGCGCCGGATTGACCTTTTCGACGGATTTTACCCATTGTTGAGACCAAATGTCTTGTAATTAGTCTCTTAATTATATCAAACACTAAACAGCATTTAAATAGCAAAACAACACGTGTTTGCTATACATTGCATAAGAAACACAAATATTTGGTACTTTTTTATACTATTTATTGCATACTAAAGTGTATTGTAAAAAGTACTAAAACTTGACCTGAAAAGACTTGAAAATGACTAAAAGTTCATACTTAGGATTTATTGCTAATATATATAACCATTAAATATACGAATATATTAATCACGAACTCCTGAAACGAGTACTTCTCTGAATTCTATATTTCCGTCTGTCCGTCTGTCTGTCCGCATTTTATTGAATTTTAAAATTTTGACTATATTTGGATTAAACATAAAAATAAGGAATAGGGAATTAGTATAAAATTTTTTATATTTTAGAAACAGATAAAATGGCGGCTAAAGTATAAAAATTTAAAATGTTTAAAAACTTAGATTTGAATAAAGCATCAAAAATAAGTTACATGGAATTAGAATACAAATTTTTATATCTTTAAGAACACAAAAAATCATTGAATTAATACTTTTTAAATTTAAGTTAAAATTTAAAGTATAATAATTTCTGTTATTTATAAGTATATGACTTGAGTTTATTTTGTCAGACTGACAGTCATTTATTTTAATTTTTACTTAGGATTAGGAGTTCGTATTAAAATGCTTTCTAGCATTCTCAACTGGTTATTCTTGAGTTTCAAAATAATTAACTATTAATAACTAAGACTAAAGTATTGCAAAAATATTTATCATTAGTTAAAATAATTTTACTTAAAATTTGTTTGAATTGTAATTATTTAAATACAGTAATTTGATTATTTTGAAAATATCAAGTTTTATAAAATTGTTTTTTTATTTTCTTTAAAAGTTAGTCAAAGTTAATACAAATACAATTAATAGGATTTTTTGTTAATAATAAATAAACATTAATTATATTAATCGTGTTAAGTATTAAATTGATTTTAATATAAAAGTGTGATTTCATATGTTATGTAAAATAAGTGAAGAAATGGTCGCTAATTTGGAATCACTGGAATAGTGTGACCAGATTTTTGGCGGACTTAGCGATCTCGAAGGCACTCTCAATCACTTTCTGGTAAATCACTCGATAGTCTTGTTTCATGTGTTGCGGCAATAAATTTATGTTTAGTGAAGTCCGACACTCGACTCTCAATTTTAAGGCACTGCTGTGTAATTGATTTAAAGCCAAATATATTTGTTCACCGTTTGGATGCTTCGGTATCTCAACAATAGACTAATTTATATATTTAAAGAATTTATAAATATATGATTTAAATTAAAATTATAAAATCGTTTAAACAAATACCTCCGGAAATATGCTAATCATTTGACTGACGGCAACACTGATTCTGTCAGAACACGATTCAAAACTTTTTAAGACAAACAAAAGTACAAATTATTAGAAAAAATAAAACAAATAATTGGATAAATAACTAACTCTTCATCTCTGCCTTCCTGTGCAGTGGTTAGCAATTCATGTATACAACGAGTTATTAGTTCCGTTCTGCGGAAAACATCTTCTTTAATGGGAAACGGCATTCGATAAGATGACTCTCCAGAGAATAATGTTGTCGTTGTTTCGTTAATGTGATTATATTGTGAGTGAATTTCATTGTTTGAAAGGCTATGTTTCGGAAGACTAGATATAAAGGATGATCTCTGAGACGAGTTTTGTTGTAAATTATTGAGAGAAGAAGAAGTTTTCGTTGGCGAAGTTGGTGAAGCTGTGGCCGATCTTTCATTGATCATAGATTGCGGTCGAATTGTTAATGATTTGACTGAATTTCGGGGAAATATTTCTGGCGGGCCTTCAATGGGATTGTCTTTCAATTGAATGTTGTTGTGATTCTTGGGAATGACAACAGACCTCAACTGTGCGTTCTCGTCAATCAACTTTTGGACCATTACTTGCAATCTTGTTATCTCATATCTCATGTCTTGATTACCTAAAACTAGTTCTTGGATTAATGAATCCGAACGACTCAATTGATTTTTCAAAGATGAATATTCTTCAACATTTACTGAACCCATCGACTCCTTTGACAACGATTTCCCATAAAATCGTTTAAAATTTGCCATTGATTTTGAATTTTTATTAACTAAAGTTTTATAATCAAAATTATCGTCATCGGAGGCAACGCTGTCATAAAGTGGTTCGGAATCGTAATCAGAACTTCCATCAGAAATAGTTTTTTGTTTTTTATCGTTATTTGTTATCAAAAGAGATTTATTTATGTTTGTACTAACAGTTGCATCAGTATTGCAATTAAGTCGTCGTCTTATTTCGTATAAGACATCAATGATGAGTTGTGCGAATTCTTTACCATTAAGTCGGGCCAACTTCTGTCGGCCCTGATTTCTGGTTGAAGTGAAATTCGGATTAACGGGAAGAAAGGGAACCAATTGTTTATCGTGTGAGCCGTTGTTAGTTTGAGTTAAATTAGTATTAATTATGGCATCAATTTCTCTGCGATCGACTTCATCATAAACATCGCGACACAATTCTTCAAATATTTTGTTCGACAAAGACTGTAGTTTAAGTCGCGATTCGTGTGTTTGATCACTGGAATCAACCATTTCTGGCACAAGAAAGTGTTGACCAGATTTATGGTTGGGAACACTTCCGCACACAAAATATGTTAATCTATCGCTTAATTCATATTGACTTTCAACCAAACAATCAACAATATCACCATAATTGGCATCTTTTGCATAATCTATTGGTGTCCTTCCTCTAACATCGACAATACAAGGATTGGCGCCATAGACTAATAATAATTCAATTTGTGAGATCTGTCTCGATTTGGCTGCCATATGAAGCGGTGAATTATATTTCTCGTTATGAATATAATTACTGTTAACCAATAAATATTATATAAATATATAATTACCACAAATTTGATAATTTCAATAAACACTTCAACTTACAGATCAGCTCCCGATGCAAGCAATCTAAGACTGGTCTTTAAATTAGGAGTTCTAACACTTGAGTGCAACTGTTCGTTGATATCAGTTTCAGATTCGTCTTTATTTGTCGAGCGGTTAATGAATGAAAGGTTTTGGTATTTCGCGCGAATGAATTCACTTTTATTCGGATGTATTGAGTCTTTGGCCGATGGTTTCCGTCGCACACCTGACTTACCGGTCAACGGATCGAGTAATGTGTGTTCCCATATAGAGTTGGATCCACTTCTTAACAATTCATTTATCATTTGAATCTGAGTCGGACGCCAAACGCTGCCATTAATTGACTTTACTTGAGATATGTGTCCTTAAAAAAAATAATTTAATTATTATTTTTTTAAAAAACCAAATGAAAATATAAGATTGACTTACGACCCAAACTTCGATGAATAAGACAACAATCGTCACAAATGACAACTCCGCGGTTAATTGAAACCCAATTGGGATCTATTAATGTAAAAGAAAAACAATGGCTATAAGTGATTATCACAAATGAGATAAACAATGGCCATAACAAACCATTAGCGCCACAATCGGCACAAACGTCTTGAGAGCTGCCAATCACTTGTTTAGCCATCGATTTGGTATCAAATCAATTGTTGTCATAAATCACAACACATTCGTCATGAAAGACACACCACTTGTTATCATTGATTGAGACGTTTGTTAATCAAAAGAGTTTGAAATGAAGACATCAGTAAAGATAACAATAAAATAGTTGTCAAACACAACAACAAATGTCAGACAATAATCACTCAATACATACACTAAACTCACAGTCAATACAAACAATAACAACATATCACTCAATATATTAAGTATAATATTATAATAATAATCATATGTTTCAAAACAAAACACAAAATACATTACATTTGGCAAACATTTTGTCCCCTTTTTTAAACATCAAACTCTTTATAAAGCCTTTAATAAAGAGTACAAAAAATGAGTTCATTTTTATGCCATTAATAGGAATGACATTCAAAATATTATAATTAATTTTTTGGATTAAAAATATATATTTTTAATTGGTTTCAATCATTTGATTTGTTGTAATATTGATTGTGTCCTTCAATATAGTGATAGTCCCACACATTAGACAGAGTGTCCTTCAATATAATTCACTCCCAAACACCACATCTATTATAACACTGTATATGAATGGCTCTCCAATGGTGTCAATAGTGTTGAGCAGAAAACGTGAGACATAAATGTGTTGCGCATATGTCAGACATGATTGCACTGAATCTACTCCACTCTACTCTACTCTACTTCAACAACGCATACACAGTCTATAGTGTYAACGCTATACACATATATTGCATTCAATGTATTACAGTATAAACACATCAATTATATTAATATTATTTATAGAAAAATTCCACTAATTTTACATACGTTTAAATTATATAAAGTTATATGAAATATAAACTTTATATTATTTTTATAGACAACTACTGTAATAAAATGAATGACTTTACAATTATATGAATATATTATATAAATTATACTATAAATTAAATTATTAAAAAAAAAAACAAACAAAGCTTTGAATGCTTATGCAATGCATTGATTAGAGCGTATTAATAGAGTTTAATATACACTGTTATAGGTGTAGGGATTGTACTTGAAGTGTAAATATTAATATAATATGTAAACTATAGTTTGTTTTACTGTTTAACATAAATGTGTATTCAATGACTATTTGTATGGTTTTACTGCCAAACAGTTAGTTATCTCTCAATTAGTTTATAACAAAAAGTGATTTTATTTTTACGCTTTGATTGAATTTAAACTGAAAATCGCCGCAAATTTCAGTGACTTTTTTGATAGYATTTAGTCATCAATTGATGTTAAGATTAAAGTGTGGATCAATGGCTGTCGTTAACCAAAGTCAGTGATGTCTGTGAAGTGATAATCGGTGGCAATGTTTGCCCCAAACAGTCTTTGTGTAAGTGATAGTAATTTAAAGCCCATATTAACGACGGATTAGTGCGAAACACATGATTATCACCAACTGATTGATCGATCATTTTAAGGATCAATTGAATTGTGAAAGAGTTGTTATCTTTGTTTAGCAAACAATTATCAGTGATTTGCAAACATTGCGGACACCAGTGATTGTTAATGTCATTACTGAGAGGCACCCGAAAGTTATTACTAGCGGCGGGTTTGGCCGGTTGTGGTGCGGCCGCTGCTGTTCTCCTGAGTGGACTTAATGCCGAGTCGGACGGCTTTAAGACACGCGCTGCTAATGTCATACAAAATCACTTCAATGACTACTCATATACCGGAAATTTGATGAATAGTGTCCACAAATGGGACAACAATTGGGATAAAAGAGATCCGTTTAGTTTAGTGAAACCAATTAGCGGTTCATTTCGGGTCTCAGAAAAAGATGAAAATAATTATAACGAAAAACTAGAAAAAGCGAAAGCAGTGGCCACTCGGCACTTGATTCTCATCCGACACGGACAGTACAACCTGTCGGGAGAAACCGATAATTTGAGAAAATTGACGCCTTTGGGCAGAGACCAGGCATATCACGTCGGCATCCGACTCAAAGACCTGGCGCTTCCCTATACACGTATTATTCAGTCAACTATGACCAGAGCTACCGAAACGGCTCAAATTATTAGCCAACATTTGCCTAATATTCCCGTCGATAGTTGTAATTTCATTAGAGAAGGATCTCCTATACAACCCGATCCACCCGTCCATCACTGGAGACCCGAACAAAAGGTTTATTTCGTTTTTATTTTATTTATTATTTTTCTAACCATAACTTTCTCTTTCTTCGGTATTTTATTAGCAGTTCTTCGAAGACGGCGCTCGAATCGGTTAGTAATGTTAATTAAAAGTTAATTAATTAATTAATTGATGAATAATTGTTTGTGTAAACAGAGGCTGCATTCAGGAAATATTTTCATCGAGCAGATCCACAACAAAAGAAAGATAGTTATGAGATAATGGTATGTCACGCAAATGTGATCCGTTATTTTGTGTGCCGAGCCCTCCAATTCCCTCCCGAAGCTTGGCTTAGATTTTCGTTACACAACTGTAGTCTCACATGGATTGCCATCAGACCGAGTGGTCGGGTGACTGTTTACACTGTCGGTGATATAGGACACGTGCCGCCAAATAAAATGACTACTTCTTAAGTATATATCATTTAAAATATATCGCTCACTAAAACTACAGATTAGACGTATTGTACAGTCGTTAACGTTTAATGAGTTTGCATTTTCTGCAATAAATAGATCGTTATTTTTCATTATATTATTTTTTGTCGTATTATATAATTTATTTAAATATAATTTTAAATATAATTAGTGCTCATCAATTATTATTATTATAGATTTTCTCATTTTATCAAATATATATATATATATATATATTAATTAATTAATAATAAGAGTTGCCATTCATTGAATACAATCATATAATGAGTCCAATCAGTGATATCCTTATCTAAAATAATATACGGATAGTTGAGCTCTAACTCAACACAATTATAACCTACGAAATAATTACTATGCATTCAATGATTGGCTTTCAAATAATTTAGTCATTAATTTGAATGTTTAATAAAGAAAAAATGATTTAATAATATTAATTTTAATAATAACATTAGTATTTTTTAATTGTATTTGTGATTGAAAATCTAAATTTATTGAAATTTTTAATAAAAATATTTTGTTAATAAATTTGTTTGTTTTGTGATTTGATTTATAATAAATAAAAATATAGATTTCATTGAAAACTTGAGTAACAGTCGGAGTGTTTAACTTTTGAGAGATTAGGTTATAAAATGTTGACCTCAATCGTCTCAATCGTTACTTTATGTTATAAAAGCATTGAACTGAGGGTTTCGTCAAGTTTTGTGACATCACTTCCCTGTCCTCTACTGTATAACATCTACTTTATTGTTAATGAATTGTCTATTAATTTAAGGTTTATTGCAATTAAATTATTGATAATAATTGAAATATTAGTCTAATCTAAATAATTAAATATATTTATTTTCTAATTTATTGTAAAGTTTTAAAAAATCTTAATATTTAAATATTACTGGTCATTACTGATTATTTTTATTATCAAAATTATTATTATTATATAAAAACAAAATAACATGAAATTTGATCCCATAGTTTAGATAAAAGAGAGAAATGTTATTATAAATTAAATAAGTTAAACTAATAATATTTTTAGACCACTTAATTTCGTTATATTAAAAGTTTTTCAATTTATTAAAATACATTTTTGAAAACTTCATGGTAAAACATATAAAATAACATTAAAAATAAGATAATTATATATTTTTTAATTATCATAATATATTTTAATATAAAGTTGTATTTTATTTTATAAATATTTGTAAAATGTCTATTTTTGATTTCTTTTTTTATTCAACAATTTATTTTTAAATTATTTATAACTTCATTTTAATAACAACACAATTTATTTTATTTATTATGTTATATTAATATATGATATACAGTATGTCTGACCAAAATTGGTGAAAAAATAATAGTTATCTCAACTTATTTTATTTTAAATGAAATCTAAATATTTTGAAATAATTTCTAATCAATGCATTACTAGACTATCTGTTTATACAGTATTTTAATCATTGATTAATAATAGGCATTAACAACATTTCAGTAATTTATCGATTTTTATGTGTCTTTTATCATTAGCTGACTATAGAATAAATAAATTGTTATTAAGTGTTAAATCAATTTTAACTAATAAATATATTCTTAAAAATGTATATAATTTTTTACAAACAAAAAAAATGAAAGATTATAGTAAAATTATTTTTTATGTTAATTAAAATTTCAATTACTAATCAAATATTTTACTGAATGTACAAATGTTATATAAAACAAAACTAATTAATGTAATTTCATGTAAATATTAACAGTAAATATTTGTCTGAATATTCTTAGTGTTAATCCTGGTGTAAAAAACAATTTCAAAATATTTAATTAAAGTATATTTATTTACATTTAATTATGTAATTAAAGTGATTATCCAATGATTGATATTGCAATGTAATCTGTTTTTAGTTTCTTGGGATACAACTTATTGATAACTTATAAGTAAGTAATAAATAATTTTTATTAATTTGTTGCCAACGATATAAAATTAAAAAAGTTTTTATTACAGAAAATAATTTAATTTTTAGGCTTAAACTAACCTAACCTACAATAAAAACCATTAGACGTTTTAAAAACTTTATTTGATAACCTATATTGAAATTATATTTTATTACTACTAATCTAGAGATTTGAAAGATGTGACTAAAATTATTTCTTAACTTAACTTATTTTTTTATTAGCCAAATGTAAATATTATTTATAATTATTATAATAAAATAAATCACAATCATATTCAACTTAAATATTATAAAAAGTGCAATCAATTTGATACAATGTGATAGTATGTATCGTATATAATAGACTTAGTTTTTGTTTTCTACATTTATAATATCATCTATAGATCTTATAATATCATAAATTAGCAATTTATTATTTATTATTTATTCAAACAGTATAAATTAAGCATTTTTCTAACAACATTATATAGTATTAATTAATAAATGTTGTCAATGAAAACATGTGCAAAATTCAAACAAATAAAATCAGCGATAATTTAATGAAATTTGAAGGACTCAACAAATTAGTGTTAAATATTAAAAAAAATACTATAAAACAAATTTAAGAATTAATATTAAAGTTATGATATTTTGTAACATTCAGTAAAACTCTATAACAGAGTACTTGATTTAATATATCATAATAATAATCAATTTAGTACTTATTTAATTGATTAAATTAATTTCATTTTTATTTTATTTAATATTTGGAGAATTAATATATATAACATTTCTAAAAAACTTTAATTAAAAAAATTATAATTGCTATTTATTTTCAACTAATTAATTATATAACAACTTATTTTGTTATATAAATTTGTTATATGTGTCAGTCTATCTGTTATTTAATAATTTGATTTTAGATTGAATGTAACAAAAATACTATAGATATGTCTCAACAATAACTGTCTCTTAATGAACATGTGGTCAAAATTAATAACAAATATATACTGTATATTTAAAACTTTGTGAAAATACGTGGGTGAGTGGATAACACTGTGAGCGGGTGAGTAATACAATGGATTAATTAGATAAACAGTTCAGACATAATAATTAAATCTACTTTCTAGAAATTTGTTCTGGCAATGCTATCAAGCATTTTCAACTGGTTTTTATTACATGTAGAAAATTAGCTAAAAATTATATATTTATTAAAGTACTGTATATTTGTTTATGTTTTAACATATAATAAAAACAAACAATAAAAATATATTTACTTTTAAAACTTATAATTTACTATTAGTTATTATATATTAATGATTATTTGCAATAACCATAAAACATAACATTTAGTAAATTTCTGTCAAATGGGCTAAATAGACATAAATTGTTTAACCAATAATACTGTATATGTAAGACATGAGAGATATATTTAATCAAAATAATATATAGTTATATGTTTTACTTAAAAAACATTTCCCACACATATATAATCTTTGTTTATAAGATGTGTTGTCCACTATAGTGACAACTGTCTTTAATTAATGTTTAAGTGTATTACTCTATGTTAACTAATGTTTTACTCTCTATTTATGTTTATTTATCTTTTAAAAAATATAACTTAAAGTAATAAAACAAATACTTCCCGGGTAGGGATTTTTACCAAATTTGATTTCAAAGTAGTTTAACTATAAACAAACCATAATTAATGGGTACAAACTTTGTACCACTAAACACAGATAAGTTACAGACCTCCAAACATGTCCCCACTATTGCAGCAATACTTAGTCCTCCAATGGAGGACTACTGCAAAAATGAATCTGACTTATGATTGGTAAGTACCGGAGCCATGGACCTCAACAGTATGCAGTATAAAAGCAACTGTCAATGAGATCCCCCATATGTGGGATACAGGATCAAGTATTAAGAGATCCACTCATTTTATGTATTTTCTATGTTTATTATATTAATAATTAATAATTGTATTTTAATATAACATATGATAATCAAATAAAGTTTTTTATATTTAATCGAATTAAACTGTGTCACAATTTATTTACCATCATCGACATCACTAACTTCAAGACTAGTTATCAACTCAACGACTGCAACATAAACAATATTATATAATAATAATTAATAAATAACTGCTAGTCTTATAAGTCGGCAGGATAAGTGACCACCGCATCGGCCATCAATCAACTAAAACTCTTTCATCAAGTACTGCTAATCAACAAAATAGTGATTGTGACTACCGCCGATAGTGTTGTTATCAACAAAAAAAATACGACAACTGATTCAGCTTATAAGTTTTTGTGAGTTAACAGTGATTATTACATTGATGTCACGACAATTATCAACCCGTGGACGTCGAAGACTTGCAATGTCCACAACACCCACACTTCGTAGCATAGGAAGACACAGACTTCCAACTAACGGTAACACTACAAGGACAACTACTTCAAGAGGACGAGCACCACCAGAGTTGGACCCAATTCAAGAGGAACCGTCAACAATGACTGACGACAGCACCATTAGTGAGCCGTCTGTTGACGATCAACCGGAACAAACAACTACCTGTTCATCATCAATCAACCGTCCGACGATCCAATCATTCAAAGGACACGACGACAAAATCACCATAGAGAATTGGCTCAAAAGGTATGAGATTATCTCTTTACACAATCATTGGTCAGATTCCAAAAAGGCTGTTATGTTAGGCAATTATCTTATTGATGATGCCTTAAACTGGTATATAGATAACTATAGCGAATCCTACTTTGAAATCAAATCAAAATTAGTTAGCCGCTTCGGGTTCTCCTTAGTTGATCCTATTGTTGACTTTGTCAATGTAAAGTACGACCAAAAAGTTGGTCTAAAGGACTACTTTGAGACTAAACGTAAATACGGTTCGCTCGCAGGTCTCACTGAGACTCAAATGATACCACTTATGATTGTATCATTGCACCCGCGAATGGCCGACAGCTTTGTCGCCGTTAAACCTAAAACTTTGTCTGAGTTTTATAATATTGCTAAATCGGCAGAAAATAGTTTTAAAAACTTTCAAAACTATAAAACCAATGGCAATTCAAATCAGGTCAAGCGCAAATTTAAACCTGAGTACAATTCAAATAAGAAAAAACGGCCATTGAATCCGTGCAAAATTTGCGAAGGTTTGGGATTCCCAAACCGA